AAGAAGGATGTGCAAGGAGCACTTCCAGCTCGATTCGCTGTACTCTTCGTTTCACCATTCCCGCCTGCCTTTGCCCGTGGATCACAAAAGCACAAAATTGATTGTGTAAATAAGAAAACGAAAATGTCGTTAGTTTACGTTTTCCGCTGACAAGCTTTTGAAACTGGCCAGAACCCGGGACTCAGGACTTAGGACCCAGAAAGAGGGGAAAAGCGACTGGGAATGCAGTAGCAAATAAAAGCGAGATGATACAAAGACCAAATGGCGTTGAGATAGACAAAGAGTGCGACGAAATTAAAAATGGAATTTACTCGTTAGTCGCATTTCCAGTTTATTGCCAACAGACTTTGATGCGAGGCATTATCGGTGAAAAATTGATAGCTGCCGATTCGAAGAAATCCCAGCGATTGCAAGCGAATAGAGTGAAAAATTGCAGAATAGCACTTTGACACAGGAAGCGACGATTGGCAGACAGAGTCTATCAATAAGTCAAAAATGTATATAATCTGAGTTGCATTTGTAAAGCGATGGTCTTATGTTGGGAAGATGAAAAATTGATAGACCTTCCACTTTAAGGTTGGCAAATAAAATATTAAATATCTAATAAAAAGATACGGGCAAACCTTGATACACGAGTTTATTTTTTTGTCGAATAGTATTTGTAAAACAGTTTCAGACAAATCAAAAATGTCACCCGGAAAAATATGTTTGGCTTGTAAAAAATAAGGCACATATGTCGGAACGAGCCGGATCAGACCACTATAGAAATAATAGAAAAAATAATACAACAAATTTAAAAACAAGGCAATAATATTTTTGCTACCCCTGGAATAACATCGAATCTCAATTACAAGAGAGGAAGAGTTGGACGCTCTCAGAGAAAGTGAAGTGAAACAGTTAAAGCATTAAAGGTAAAGTTTTTATTTGAACTGCAAGACTTGTCGAAGTTAACTTCCATTTTTGTTTAAAAAGTGTCTCACTGGCGAATCAAAACATAGTTTTGTTTGCAAACCTTTTAATTCCTTTCACTTTTCACTGCCCATACTCGTTTTATCAATATAAACGTTTCCCTCGCTGTTGGCCAATAAGTGATTTATAATTGGATATTTATCCGTTCCTCACATGAGTAGTTTATTTAGGCAAAATCACCTAAAAGGGTTTAATGGTTCACACTGAACTCAATTGTTTACAGACTTGGTCTGCTTACCAATGCTTTAGATGCTTTAGATACAATTAATTAATTTGGCTTATTGTCTTCCTCTTACTTTCGCTTGTCCAAGTCCACCTTACAAGAGGACAAAGGAAACGATGCTAAAGTGCAGCCTGCACCATACCTGTTATCGTTATTGATTTTAGACAATGTAGTCGAAGCTTAGGGAATACAGTACCGAACCACTGCTATTAAATGCCACCGTCCTTATCACTTTTTAAAATAATTTGATCCCTTCTTCTTATAAATTTATTGATCACATTCTGAACCGCTTATGTGAAAGCCACCGTGAGAAAGTGTGGAAATGTTAAATCAGTAACGTCGATAGCGTGATAGGCACATAGTAGTTTAATTAGTTTAAAAACAAGCAACATCAGAGAATAGGTTGGTTCAAGTGTGTGGCGGATCAAGATAAAATATTTTGATGCACACCATTTGAACACCACATTTCCTTTAGACCCTTTTTGAGAAAAACGAAATTTCATTTAAGACGTATGTACAAATAATAACAAATCGCACCCGAATATAAAACCGCCACATTTGGTTCAGTATTCGGATGGATATTTTTTAAAGTTTTGATACTAAGACTACTCAGAAGCCGATTTACTGGCTTAGGAGTAATTAAAGTATAAGAAGTACCATTTAGAAAAATGTAGTTGGGGAGATTGGTTTAGGAAAACACATCCATTTGTTGAATTATGAAAACTCTTAACTACATAAGTTGGGAATCAAACGGTACGAACGAGTAACTTGTAGTAAGTGTACAACCCTAGTCAAAAGTATTTTCACAAATTTGAATGTTAACTGTACTCATATTTTGAACTTATAATAAAAACATTTTGGCACCTTTGGAAAGGGCACTTCAATTCCGTTTAAATGACACAAACATTTTCTTAACACATTAAGCACCCTTTGAAAAGTGGGCAAATTAGACAATTTTTATTGAAAGTCAAATTTTCAACTTTTTTTCTGGGGCTTAAAACAAAAATGTTATGATGCAAAGTTGTTCCCCAATCAAAATTAATAATAACTGCAAAAAAAAAATTAAAAATATTTTTCCTTGTATTTTTTATGATTTTTTGAAAATAGCTATTTTTGCCGCTTTTTCTTCCTTTTCATTAAAAATACATGGAAAAATAGTTTGCAAATTTTTTTTGATTGATTAATTTTGATTGGGGAACAACTTTGTTTAAAGCCCCAGGAAAAAAGTTGAAAATTTGACTTTCGCAAAATTTGCTCACTTTTCAAAGGAGTCTTAATGGGTTAAGAAAATTTTTGTGTCATTTAAACGGAATTGAAGTGCTCTTTCTAAAGGTGCCAAATGTTTATATTATAAGTTCAAAATATATGTACAGTTAACATTAACATTTGTGAAAATACTTTTGACCACCCCTGTATTTAATTAGGAAAAAGGTAAACATTTTTACTAGATTATCAACTAGAGCTTTTGATTGATTTTAAAATCAAATTTAAAACAGAATCATTTAAGTGTCAATCCTTTCATTGAATATCACTGTGCAACATTTTTAGGGTTATAAAATGTAACCGCAATTCTGATTTCATGGGCGGAAAGAAATCATCGAAATAAGCTAAAACCCATTTGGGTTTCTCTGGCTTAGCTCGCGTTTACCTTTTATAGCGAGTTAAAGTTTTACATTTTTCATGTTGCACTGTGTATGTAATGAAACCTTTTAGAAAATAGCCAACAACGACGATTAAACAAATCGAACCAAAGTGTAGCAGTCAATAAATTTGTACGCACAACTTTTTGCAACCACTTGAATATCCTCCATAGCATCTCTCTCCATCCTTTACAGTTTATCAAAGACTAACCATCGACCTTGGCCACAACTTAAAAGAGCAATGTAAATGGTTGAAGAAACTTTATGAAGAAACTGGAGTGTGGGAGAAAGAGAATTTAAATGTAAGGAAGCGGTCGGTGCGAAAAGTGTCGGAAACAACGGGAAATGGCAAGCAAATAGTTTAACTATCCTTGCGGTGATTTTTGCTAGTTCGGCGACTATCTTCGAATCCATTTTGAACTGGCTATCGGTCAGTTGGCTTTTCACTCGCCTTCCTGGGTCACCCCTAACTGCGGACGAGAACTGTGTTGGAATTCCATAAGAATGTTTCCGGTGCTGTATTCACTGAAAACTAAATTGTGAAATTTTAGCAGTTTTACATTATTAGGATTTCTTGGGTTTTTGTTTTATCTAACTTAACCAAAAATTTTACAAAGCTAATATTTTATTTGTCTTCAATTTATTTATAGCAGAAACTTTGCTTAAAGTAAAGTTTTCCACTAAGAATAATTTAATGATATAAATACAAGTGTTTTACGTTTTTCTATATGCACTACCCACGTTCGATTCCCTTTTGGCGCCACCAATTTCTGGCACCCGTTCAAAGTTGCCTTTGCAGCTTTTCCCTCCGGAACTTCCACACCCCCGATACCTCTGACTATGGCTACTTATGGCCGCCACTGCCTTCCAAATTGAATGAAAGCACATTTTGATTGAAAAGGAAATTTACGGTGAACTTATATAGACACAGGCGGGAACCGCAACAGTTCGCAGGACCTGGGGCATCTCCTGCATGGCTGCTTTAACAGCCAATGTAGCGTTGCCCGTCGCAGCTCCCGGCGGATTTATCAGTCAATGTTGGAAAATTAGTTAACGGGTTTGCCGGAAACTTTTCTTTTTTGCACGCCAACTTGGCCAACAAGTTCGTTTCGCCCACCAAAATATTTAAGGCTCAATGTCCACGGAAAAAGGGAAAATGTGGGCAGGGATTTCTTTGGTTTCGTTCCTCGGAAAATGGAAACCTCAAGCGTTTGAAGTTGATGCCTGGAATTAATTTAAGGTTGGTCAGGGGAAAGTTTGGTAATTAACCTTGGAGGAAAACTGATTTAGGCCAAATCCAAGGTTTAATAGCAGATCAATACAAATTTAATGTCTAAGATCTAAGAACTTTATTTCGCATAGATAAATATTAGTTATTTTGCGATTATGGAATACATAGTGCTTGTAAACTAAATTTTCTAAATAGACACAAGTTATTTCATATACTCACTACATTAGGTATAATAATACGTATAAGAATAGCTTCATTTGGTTAGAATTATTTCTACTCGCTGTGCATTATATTTTTAACAAATTCTCATAAAGCCAGAAACTAAACTAAAATTGTATGCATTTGCTGTGCCCCCTGTGCCCTGAAACCTTCGACTAGAAAATATAAAATCATAATAATAATCATCGTTCGCTGTAAAGGTATATTTTAATTCTGGTTAATTTCATAGTTTGTATTTTGTATTCTAGGTACTTCTTGACTTTTCTGACACATTAAAGGTATATTAAATATATTTTCTTTGATTAATTGATACCGTACAAAGCACATTTATTGAAACTGTTTGTTGAACATAATGTGACAATCTGGTTCGACTCCTTGTCCTGCTTAAAACGTATCCCTGCAAGTTCCCTTGTTCCAATAATTTCTCTTTAATAAATAACCAAACAGTTTGGCTTATATTAAATATATGATATAAGTGTACAGCTGTATTTACAATAATAGAAGTTGAGTGGTAATTTATCAAAAACAAATCATAATTACCTTATGAACTTTTTTCTGTTGCTTCTATTATTTTGAAAACAACTGTACTGACTTCTAGGTTTTTTAACACACATACCGATTTTTTCAAATCTTTTGTATTATAAAATTGAATTTGTTTTAATTGGGATAAGCGTGAATGGATAAGCAAACATTACAAAAATACAATTTGGTAATGAATAAAAATAATCTTTTGGATAGTTGATCGTATGACCCTGTCAATATTTTTTTCGACCATTACAAAAAAAAGCAAAAGTACAATTTTTTAAACGAAATAAGATATTAAAGTAAATATGCATGAAATAGGTTTGAGCATTTGCTACATCCACAGTTCTAAAAAAATGGTCTTTCTTCACGCTAAACCCCTATCCGAGACAACCACCGCCGCCGTTTTTACTTAGACACGAACCAAGAGCTGCCGGCAACTGTGGAAGCTAGTTCTTGCTATTCGTATTTTTGGTGGTGGCCAAGTTATTAGCCGGTTCCTGCAGTGGAACCCATTGGGCCGTAGCATTTTTGGCGCGGAAAATTTCTTCAAAAAATATTTTCTCTTCGGTGCGGACTTCAGGAGAGTTTCCAATGAGAGTGCGTCCCAAAATTTCACTTGATCCTGAAATAAATATTACAAAATGTTTTGGTTTTTAATGTATTTGTGTGTTTAATGTATTAAATGAGACAACTTCTTTCAAAATTAAAAACAAAATTTGAAAATTAAATTATTAATTTAAATATTTTTTAAATTGCGGTTTGGGTAACCTTTTTATTTAACTTAAGGTCAAGAGTCTGCCTCGGCTTTAAAAAATATCAAGAAAAGGGAGAAAATCAACTTATCCGATCTTAGGAAAAATCTTGTTTAATAGTCTCTGAAAGCATATCACTCATTGCCTTCAATTTCAACCATACTTCTATTTTTTGCTCTCTCATCAAAAATGTACCTTGATGGATACTATTAGGGTGTTCAATTGCGTTGCAAACTTTCTAAAGTGTAAAAGTGTAAATCAATTCCAACAACAATTTCTATACAAAAAAGTTTTCAAGGCCTACTTTTCAAAACTATTTTGTATAGAAATTGTTGTTGGAACTGCCTTACACTTTTACACTTTACAACGCTTGCAATGCAATTGAACACCCTATATATTTTTGAATTCGTTACGAATTCCAAAGTTAAACTGCGTTTTCCAAAAAGTTGTCCGACGCAAGGATTCTTTGCACAAGGACCTCTAGGTTTGAAAAATGCTGAAATTGGCCAACTTTCTGGAGGTATCACAGGATTCAAACGGATTCATGGTTTATTTTGTTGTTAAAATAATGTAATGTTGTTACTCTTTATCTTTCAAACCTCGTACTTAGAATAGTTTTAGGATTTTTTTTAAGGGAGAAACAAATTTAAGAAAACATACACTCATAAAAATTAATTTCTAAATTTTGGAAATCTCGCCATTGAAACGGCCTACCTTTGAAAATAGAAAAAAAATTTCTTGTTATTAGAAAATTGTCCTTTGAATACAGAAAACCTTTCTTGATGGAAAAAATTCAAGAAAGAATTTTTCTTAAAAATAGAAAAATAAAAATCTCATATGTTTGTTTTGCCGTCGCAGCCAAAACATTTTTGTACGTATTTAAGGAAAAAACCACCTTTGAATATATGAATGAAATGACCCTAGAATATAGGAAAGTAGCCATTGACTTCCTTCGGCTGCCGAATGTTAACGACAAGAAAAACGAAGTGGGACGAAGGGCCTACTCGGCCCGACTACTACCCGGCTACCGACTTCTCTGATCCCCCGAGCGTCAGTTGTGAAAAAAATTCGTGAGTGATGGACGTGATTTTCAAGCGGATAAGAGGTGAAGCCTTTTTCCGAATATTCAAAGGTATGTAAATATATAATTTTTTGTATAGCGGGCGTACAATTGTATGTACACTTGCCAGAAAAAGTATGCGTACAAATATTTTCCGCAACTTTAGAGCTTAAAAAACGTCTTAAAAAAAATTCGTAAAAATGTCATTTTAATTTTAACATTTAGTACACATATTAAGCTTTAATTTGACGTAACTTATTAATTTCTAGCACCTTTACTTTTCCTAATATAAATAAAAATGTACAAATTGGCCGGATTTCGCATCAGAAAAAGTATGCGTACAAATGCATATGGTATTAGAAAAAGCCATATTTTGGGCAAAGTACGTCGAGTTTAGTACGGAGTTTGATACCCTTTATGTTTTATAACTTCAGTCTACATATTCGTCATCGATTGGACCAATGTCCTTGCATCCATCGCCGTTATTTGATTCCATTCCTCGACATTGAGTTTTTTCAGGATATCCTTGGATGCAAGGGTGTGAAGGCGAGTCCTGCCCTCCAGGACATCACAAAATGCTTTACGGGATTGATATATACTATTTTGATGGCGAATGTAGCTGTTTTACACATAAAAGCTTTGTTTTGTGGGCGCAATGTTTATGTTCGTTGTCCTCTTGGTACCAAAAGTACTTTTCGAGTCCCACTTTCAGGACGCTTTAATTTCTTGTCTTAAAGTGCATAAAACAACCAACAAAATGAGGTATCGTTTATTAAAATCGGTCAACAACTTAACGAGAAATGGCTAGCCATATAACCAAACAAACAACTGCTTTGGCGTAATGCACGAATTTCATACGAATTTCAAAAAAAACTAACCTTCTATCTAAATAAGAAAGTTTTTATACCCATTTCTCGTTAAGTTGTTGACCGATTTTAATAAACGATACCTCATTTTGTTGGTTGTTTTATGCACTTTAAGACAAGAAATTAAAGCGTCCTGAAAGTGGGACTCGAAAAGGACTTTTGGTACCAAGAGGACAACGAACATAAACATTGCGCCCACAAAACAAAGCTTTTATGTGTAAAACAGCTACATTCGCCATCAAAATAGTATATATCAATCCCGTAAAGCATTTTGTGATGTCCTGGAGGGCAGGACTCGCCTTCACACCCTTGCATCCAAGGATATCCTGAAAAAACTCAATGTCGAGGAATGGAATCAAATAACGGCGATGGATGCAAGGACATTGGTCCAATCGATGACGAATATGTAGACTGAAGTTATAAAACATAAAGGGTATCAAACTCCGTACTAAACTCGACGTACTTTGCCCAAAATATGGCTTTTTCTAATACCATATGCATTTGTACGCATACTTTTTCTGATGCGAAATCCGGCCAATTTGTACATTTTTATTTATATTAGGAAAAGTAAAGGTGCTAGAAATTAATAAGTTACGTCAAATTAAAGCTTAATATGTGTACTAAATGTTAAAATTAAAATGACATTTTTACGAATTTTTTTAAGACGTTTTTTTAAGCTCTAAAGTTGCGGAAAATATTTGTACGCATACTTTTTCTGGCAAGTGTATGTAATTAAAGGATACATTTCAAATCTCTTTACCAAGCGTATACCAATTTAAATGAATTGTTTTTTAGCTAAGAGCTACGTACATACATACATTTGTACATAAATTTGTGGGTGTACAGTTCTATAATAACTTTATCTTATTACTCGCATTTTATTTATTTTTCAGAGTGAAAATACCTGCAGTTGCATCAGCCAAATAATTTGTTTGTCGAAGCTGTAATTTTGTTTTAAAACCTTCTAAGGTAAGAAAAATATGTTGTATTTGTTTGACATACTTATGTATGCATGTAAATACATATCTATGCATGTACGCCGCTCACCCGATCTGAAACCCGATTTTCAACCCTTTCATATTCTGCTCCTCTCTCTCTCTCGCTTGACCTACGCGTCGCGACGTTTCTCTCTTCACCTTCTTAAAACTGACACGATCTGCCCTGCTTACATTCGGTCTCCCTTCGCGCAAAGGACTGTATGTAAATATATATGTATGTATGTACGTGTCTCTCCCGTGCCTCTCTCTCTCTCTGAAATTCGATTTTCAACCCTTCATTTTCTACCTGTCTTGCTCCTCTCTCTCGGTCGTCTGTCCAACGTGTTTGTATTTTGGCTATTATTAACATTACATTATTTCAAAAAAGTTGTTTATCTAAAAACAAATTATTGATATCCCAATAACTCTTTTTTTATAGATGAGGAAAGGCGAAGAAAATGGATCACCTTAGGTCATATGAAGTTCAACAGACCTTGGGTAATAATAATGTTTTCTTGAGTCAAAAATGTGTTATTTAAATATGTTTAAATGTTAAGTGTTAAATGTTTTAAATGTAAATAAATATAATATGCAAAAGAAAAAACCAAGTTACATTTTATTTTTAGGGTTTCAGTGTTAATATAAAACTTCCTTTCAAGAAATATTATTTCTTAAATCAAGAAATAAAATTTCTTGAAAGGAAATTTAAACAAGAAAGAATTTTTCTTGTTTAAAAGGTGCCTTTCTAAAAAACCCTTTCTTGTTTTAAGAAATTTAATTTCTTGAAACAAGAAACAAACCACCTTTGAAACAAGAATCGCCTTTCTTGTTTTAAGAAATATTTTTTCTTGTTTTTATGGTGGCTTTCTAAAAAACCCTTTCTTGTTTTAAGAAATTAAATTTCTTAAAGCAAGAAATATTTTTTCTTGTTTTAATGGTGCCTTTCAAAAAAACCATTTCTTGAAACAAAGGTGAGGTCGCCTTTGGCAAAAATTCAAGAAAGAATTTTCTAGATTTTAAGGAAATTCTTCGATTTTTTTTTATAGTTAAAAAACATAAGAGCATACAGCTGCGGTCAAAGTAATAGTAGTGTAGTAAAAGTTTGTTGTTATAACTCTCCTTATCACTATGGACGGCAGTCCATGTATTGACGAAGCGCACCAGGAGAGTGTGCGAAGGCGACTACTATATATACACGAAGAAATGAAAATCTACTGTGATGGTCCGATCATAATGAATGATACACCTATCGAAAGGTATTGCGAAAACTAACAGGATTGCATACCAAGACTTTAAGAAAATCAATTGGCTTGGGAGAGAGAGCGGTGAAAGTAAAAAAGTGAAAATTTCGAAATTTGGAGCTGTTGTGGCCGGTGGGGATAAATGCCCCCTCTCAATGTTTTAGTTGTATCCCCGTCGAATGCGGGGTAATATGTCAAAATCCGACGCTCCGTTCAGCCATTATAGCCAAAATAAGATTCTCTTCTTCTTCCCAAAATGAAAATTTAATTCTGTTTGTCAGTTGTCAGTTTGTCCAAAACATGTTTCTTTAAGTTTTGAAAATTTGATATGACGTTCATCATATCGATATAAAAAACTTTTGTTCTACCACTTTTGGAAAAAATCGCTAGTTTAGCGGGAAAACAGCTATAAATCGCTAAAATTTTGAAAGCCGTAACTTCTATACTACATTCAGCAAGCTACAATAGAAAATGCCTGTAAAGGGAAAAAGGCTGGAATAGTTTGCTAGGGCGGGCCGAATGAGAAAATATTAGAAAGTCTATTTAATGACGAGTGTAATAATTTTTCGTCACAAATGTTGATATCAGAACTTTTGTATGTTGAAGGTGTGATCGTCACTAGTTTTTTACCTCGTTAAGAGGTGTTTTTATTTGATCCAATTAGTCTTATAGAAAATTATAATCAATACAATATAACGAAGAAAAGATAAATAATAAAATAAATTTTGCTATAACATAAAAAATGTTAAATTTATAAATATTAAAATAAAAATCATATTGATACTAAAAACTTTTTAGAAATTATGTTTTCGAAAATTTCTTATAATTTACTCACCCAATAAACCATCGTGGACCACGGTGAATTCTAATACACAATTTTTCAGCGTCTCCTTGGCGACATCGAAAGCGAGGGCTTCATTGTAAACAGGATTCAGCGTGGCCCTTTGAACACCCGTCTTACGTTTCTTCATCTTCTTGCCCCCGGGACCCAGAAGAGTAACTTTCACATACGGATCCGAAGAGTTTCTAGCATCGTCCACAATTCGCAGATTTCGGGCCTTAATCAGGACGACCATCAAACGTTCCGCAGATGGCAAATAGGCCAGGGACACCATTATGTCTCCCAGATCCACCTTCATATCTTGGGCCGAGGCGGAGCTCAAGGGTGTCCAAAGTTTCAACTGTTCACCAAGATCCAAATTGGCCAGGTGTAGCTTGGTTCCTCCGATACAAACGTGCCGAGAATAGGCATCAAAGTCGTACAGTAAAATCTCCACTGTTCGTTTGTCAATTACTCCGGCTGTGACCTCGAATACAAACTGTTCGTCGAAAACTGGAGAAGGATTAAGAAATTATTTTAATATTTTTTGGCAAGAAAAAAGGTTTTATTTTAGTTTGGAAAAATATTTTCAAAAAACAGATTTCACAAAATAATATTCACCTGGATTCAAGGTCCTCTTGTGTATTCGCGTCTGCCAAAAATTCTTTTTGTCCGGAAGCAATCGCACTTTGGCATAGGGATCTGCAGATCCGCTGTACTGTCTTGGCTGCAGATTCTGAGCCTCCAGAAGTCTAACATTTAGCAAGCCACCCACAGGATCATAGCCAATGCTAACATGCAAATTTCCGCGGACTTCGTTAAGTGAAACTGGATTAACGGTCTTCGGTTGAGAGTGCTGCAAAATGAGGTGTACAAAATAGAAAACAAACTCTTTCAAAATAAACTCCATTCACTTACGCTTCTATACAGGGTCATGTCAATTTTCGTGTGATCCAATTTGGCATTCATGGAGGAAACTCTTGGACGACTCGGGTGCATTGCCAGGACCACATGCTTATCGGATCTGGCAATGGGAACTGAAGTGGTGGAGCAGTAGGACAGGGTGTTTGACTTCAGGCTTCCGGTGGGCGAAGTGGGTGTGGGCGGGGCCGACTCCTCGGTAGTGTTGGACACCTGTTGCTGGATGGCAGCCGTCGAGGTGACCGAAGCGGGTACCCAAAAGGCCGGGTCATTGTCCTCGCTCTTTAAGGATGTGGGGCTGAGGTTGCCGGCATTGCCACTGCTGAATTTCCCACGCGGCACCTCGTTTATGTTGTCCACATTGTAGCCCACGGCACCCGCTACCAAAGCCTCCCTGCTGAAGAGAAACGAAAACAATTGAGGGCGTTATATACGGTTAGTACCACCAAGGGTGCTTCAAAAATTCGAACAGAAGATGAAAAAATTTTAAATTATCCTACACAGGTTTTCCATTTTCTTTCTGTAAAAAAAAAAACAAATAACACGCTTAAATTCGCTTGAAACTGAATCTTAAATTGAAAAAAATATCTCATTTTATTTAAAACTTTTAAATTTTAAATATTTTACCTTTGTTGATCTTCATCCTTCTCGTTGGCCGACTCAAGAAGATTCTGTTCAAACCAGTTCAGGCGATAGCGTTTCGAGCAGGTGGTGTAGAGAGCGGCCCCTACAGCTGAAACCACCAGGAAGGATACCGACGCATAGACGCCAATCTGGGCCAGAGAAATATCCTCTTCACGGATGACAATGTCCATTTCGCTGGCTATGGGTAATCCTGAAGGCACATAAAGAAACATCGATGGGTCAACAAATGCAGCAACTCCTTCCTTCATAACACATGAGATGCCAACGTGGGTCAATTACTCGGCCTGACCCCACATCGACATCTCTCCACCTGGCTAATGACACCCAAACTAGCCATAAAACATTCATTAGCAAGTCAGGACCTCGGGATGTGTGTCTCATAAATAAATCAAAGCTCGGGGCCCCACGTCCTACATTCATCTTCTCCGTTCGCTGGCTTTGTGGGTTATTAATTGAGCGGCTTAAGGTGGTGGTGTTGCTGGGGCACCGCAAAATCCTGACCAGCGGCACGTGCTCACAGTTCCCCACCAGCTTCAAGGATCCACCGGGAGGATGATTGAGGGGCCGGGGCTTTGTCTTTGTTAGACCGCAGCCACACAAAATTGCCATAAAGGCGCCTCGGCCTCGGTTAGTTCGCAATTAGCCGAGCAAACTGCCAGGTGACCCTCATCCCAGGCACCCCAACAAAATCCTCCAAATTACACCCACACTTAAAACAAAAAACGAGGGAGAGACGTCCGGCACACACATTTAACCACTGCGCAATTTAAGAGTTCCACTTTTTCGTGGACCCTAGAATGTTTTTGAAATTTTATTATATTTTTTTTCATAATAAATGTAGTTGTTAAGTTTTGAAACTTTTAGTATTTTAAGAAAAATGTTTTAATTATTAGCTTTAATAATATCCAAAGATTACATCTTTTTTACGGCATGACTTGATAATTTTTTTCTGTGCAAAAGAATGTTGGGAACGCGCAGAACTGCCAACAAGATGAAGTGTTGTCTGTTTGAAAAAGCAAAAATTTATAACCGACCTGTTAATTAATTAGTATATTTATATTTAAAAGCCACCTTTGGATGACTCCTGAGTTCCTATCCCTGCCTCCGACCCTTTACTCCCTCAACCACAACCCCTTTTTCTGTCCAATTTCTGCAAATTTACTTTACGCTCATTATTTATTTACGGCCAACTTTTGTTTTTTGGGCCTACGCTTTCTTTTATGGCAATTGCATGAGGTGTATATGCGGGTTCAATTCCCTGTTTTCCTCTTCCCCTTCGGGCTCCTTGGAAAATCTTGGGGAAATGATTTATGTTCCCTTATGTGCAAATAAGTGAGTTTGGGCCTTAATGTGGCTGCTTGGAGAATTTATGAAATTAGTTCTAATTTAAACTTTGACAGTTGGGAAGATAAGCAGCTATCGCAGAAGCCGAGGCCGTAAATTAAGTGAAATTCGTGGAGCAGCATTAAAGCGCTTGATGTAGACATTTCCAGGGAAATCTATTTGCCAGCCAATCGCCTGTTAATCCCCTGGGAAATATGGCAAAATGCCATCGAACTGATATCACCTTCCGTTTTTCCAGCCGCTGCGCCATGTAAATCACACATAACCCAATCAATGTCAAATTGAGCAGATCGCCCAGCCACGCCCCACATCATCAGTCAGTCATTCAGTCATTCGAGGTGTCCCTTTGTGCCTTCACGTCCTGACATGACGAGTTTGTCCCGGCACATGTGGCTTTGGGGGTATAATGAATTTTATTACCCTTTCTTTAAAATAGGTATTTTCAAATTCGGATTCAACTTTAAAAGAGGAAAACATAATTGCACTAAAAACTGTATAAATATATTTAATAAAAGCCCGTTGAGTAGAGCAGGCTTAGCAGAATTAAAAACAAATCAATTTATTGTAATAAATTCTCAGAAATTACTTACAAGTAAATAAATACAAAAAAACCGCGGATTTAGCAAAATGAAAAATGAAACGATTTCTGTTCATAATCTAATTACATCCTAGAGCCAGCTCACTATCTTTGGTGGTCCAAAAGTTATGTGAGGGTATTTTAGAGAATCTGTTCCATGGCTCTGTTCGCCGAGCTCCCTTGTTGGGCCTGGTATTTGCCCACATGCATCATTTACACATGTGTGGGCATGTGGGCACAGGGATTTATTGCTCCTGTCATAAATTTTAATACAAAAACCGCGCTTTGGCCCTTTTGGCCCGGCTGTCTGGTATTTGGTTGGCTTTGTAAATCATTTTGCGGCTTTTATCGTGCACATTTTCACTTTTCGCTTTAGCCCCTAGATAAGACCGCACTACTTCCGCCTGTGTTTCTGTTGCGTCGCAGCAAAGTCAAGGCCAGAGATGCGTCCCTCCAAGTCCCGGGGTGCCGCAATGTGTTGACAAAGCGACTAAAATTAAGTTTATCTAATCGATAAAATCAACCGCATGGTTCATTGCCTGCCTGGGAAAACGGTAGGTGTGTGGGCCAGCTCATTCCCGTGATTTCCCTCAGCTTTGGCTGGCGATTTCATCATGCTCGCTTAAAAAATTAATAGATAAAGATGCCTTTCCGACGGTCGCAGCGCCTTTGAATAGCGCAATTATGGAAAATTATGCTCATTAGTCTAATGAAGTGTTTTGTGACTCAAAAGCTGCTGGAAGGGTCCCAGTGGCCATTACATTTCTTAGCCAAGTCCACGCCCTGCTGTTTTTTCAAAAAGAATGTGGACAATTGCAGTCGTCAGCAAGGCAAACACCCTATTATCCCGTTGCCCTAGGACATTGTTGAGGTTGTTCTTTTTCCAAAACTCTTTGAAATTTAAGAAAAAAAATATTAAAAAAAACTTTAACTGAGATATAAATCCAAACTTTTATCAAGGGCCAAGTATCTTTTACAAATGTTTTTGATTGAACGGAAGTAGCTCCAGTCACAAAATCCAGGTTCAGTAATGCACTAAACAAGTTCCATTAACTATCATTTATCCTTAGACTTCCGGAAGCACTTTTCCCCTATCCTTCCTGCCTTCCGTAGCCATTGTTCAGCTTATCCGGCCGCCGAGCATTGCGAAAGCATTGGCCAAGTGCTGGTTGCACACCTGTCCCCGGCAACAGTAATTAGATTACGACATCGGGTCCACGATGGATCCGCGTGTTGCTGGTGTCCTGAATTGTCCTCGACAAAAGAGTGACCACGACAAAACAGTGGGAATTGCAGCAGACACTCACAGAAAAAGTGCAGCCTTACATAAAAATGTAAAAACAATTTTTTAACGTTACTTAAATTTTGATTTAACCAAATCTGCGGTATTTAAGCTCTAAAAGTGCGCAATATGCAATGTTAAAATAATTATGGGTCCCGGTCTTGATTTTTTGCTGTAATTGATAATTTATTAAAAAAAAAAAAACAATTAATATAAATATTTTATGCAAGCCATTGTTTTTTTCAGGGACCGTAAATAACAGTTATTTGTGATTTTTATATTAAAAAGACTACTGTGATATTTGATTTTAAACGTCAAAAATAACGTTCTTTTTACTCTTGTCCACAAAGTATATGCATTTCAACAAATCTGGAAAGCAAATTAACTTTTATTTGTTCATGTCTATAAAGTGCATAAAAACCAGTTAAATTGTTAATAAAAACTTGTACAAATCTCAGTAGGACTTTTAAAATAAAAATCACATATAACTGTTATTTACGGTCCCTGGTTTTTTTTAATTTTTCCGAACTTTTATTGATTTTTTCTGTTTGTGTTTCATGAACACTGCACAGTTGTAAAAACATCTCGTGGCCCCCGCTCACCTGCACTGAAATTTCATTTGGCTTTCACTCATCCATTGCAGTTTATCCAGGGTCCCCCGAGCAACAGATGAAAGACCTTCGGTGTGCATAAACAAGCGGCAGAAGTTTAGCCAGCATACACGGACCGAGGGCCACGATGGCCTCCAGGAGCCAGAGCTGATGGATCCGGAGGTCCTGGCCGTCAATAATCAGGCATCAGCAATTTGTAATACGCGCCATAATGACACAGTAGAGGCGCTAGTTTATCCACATCAGCAACATCATTATCATCGCCTTTGCTCGCCCCCCTTTTCTCCGTAATGTGTCTGTTTTTGTTATCCGAGTTGATTATCTCCCACCAATGGCATCGTCTGTTGTTGTCCTCCAATGTCAATGGGATCAGCGGGGCAAATTGAATGCTGACCCCATCGCACTGTTTGCTAATTAGCCATCAATGAATATTTATAGCTTAAGGCGTGGGTTGAGGGGATCTACCATAAGCAGCTGAGAACTGGCTAAGACCAAGGGAAAGTTTATAAATGGATTAACAAACTAAATAGCATCGGGAAAAACTTGCCATTGAATGTTATTCCTTTTGCAAAGTTTCGATTACACAAGTTATTCAAGTATAAACTTTTATGAATAACTTATATTGCGAAATAAATTCTAAGGAAAATATAAACAAACATTTGTAGTATTTATTATGTAATAATAGCATAAGATGTCACTAGGCTAAATAAACATTTAAAAGTGCATAGTGTGTGCAAGTGTTTTAAAATTCGAAAGTATTTATTTTTTTCATACTTGAGAGTTTATGCTTCCCGTAAGTCAGCAAATATAAGACCTTCAGAAGTAAATTCCTGCCAATCCTTTCACTCTCATTTGCAAACACTCTTGAGCCCTCTATATGCGATAAAAGTGGAATAAAAGATCCCATTAAAATCAACAACCATATGTCAGTTCGCCACAGGCCATTAAATGTTGCGACCCGGCCAACGGGGCATAGAGAATATTGAAAATAAAAAATATAAGAAGGAGACTGGAAAAAGCAAGATAAACAGCAATTTAATAAAGTGACCCAAAGTTATGCGCCTCCAGTCTAAGGGCGAGAGCATAAAAATAAACAATAAAACGCTCATTAAAACGCTGAAAATGCCCAAGAAGTAAACAACGGAAAATGTTTACATGCGCACTCAGGAACAACGAAAAAATAAAGGAAAAAGCATGGCTTGGCGTGGGCTACGGAAATAATAAGTGTGATATTAATACTTGTGTTCGGCACAAAGGGAAACCCGCCCGGCAACCCACATAAAGAAACCCAGTGGTGGGCCAAAGGCTAAAGAGCTGCCAATAACTCAACAAGTTAACAAACATGGCTGGCTGGGAGCTTCTTTATGGCCTCGTCAATGCGGCCTGTAGCTTCGGGCGACGTTTTTGCATTAAAAATGCATTAATCTTCGGACACGTGATAAATATTCATGGCTCTTCGGCATCCAGAAATGTCTGTAATAAATGCACTTCTTTAGTGCAGCCTGTTGACTGCCTAGCACGCAATATTCCAGTCGAGGAATATATATGACGAAGGTCGCCCGATTCGGCAACAGAATGGAGGTCGGGGGTCACGGTCATATACGGGCTTTTCAAGGACATGCTTGTTGTGTTTGAGTGGCTGCCAACGTGGCCAACGAGTCCTGGCTTCTCCACCAGTTTAAACAGCCCGCGGCTGAGAAATTCCAAACGAAATCCTCACGGTCTTTTCAAACGGAATACGCCAAATTGGGTACAAGATCCCGCATACGTTGAAGTACACATTTCGCGAATGCTCTCGACTAATTGAATTAAAATACCTCTGCTTTGAGAGAATTTATCACAGCCACTACACAACGCGTTCCACGTGCCGTATACGCAATGCAATCATTTCAATCAGTAATCAGCTGTAAAGTGCCAGTGTGGGTGCTCGAAAAAAACTCTCGAAAAGCGAAAGGGAAACTCATTTCCAAAACAAACAATTTTCATTGCGTTTGATAGGGTAATATAATCGATGTGACGTAAATTGTGATGAAAATATATATCATACAGCATTTTTATGTGTTTTTATATATGCTAAAATGTGTTCTTCATTAAAACGGAAGCAAATATTCCCAAAATTACTAAGCTTACTACAAAATAAATCAAATTTGCACTCTTGAGTAAATGCCACTAAATTCTCTGCAAACAATTATTATATTTTTCATTAAAAGGACAAAGGATTGGCGTATTTCACGTCTGATTCTGTGTGTTAGAAAATCCGCAAAGCTTCAATTCCCCAGCACATTAGCCCAATTTTCTTTCTAAAAACATTACCATAATTTTCCTTGCCAACTCCCATGAGAATACCAAAAGATCATGTACTTCCTCCTCCCACACTTCTCTTTGTATTTTTCTCCAGAACATTGAGCAGAACTTTTCACGAGATGATTTTCAAAGAAAATTCACTAGCTTAACTTTTACAATAAAAGTTTGCTCTGCCAGCTTACATTTCTTTCTTAGTCTAGAAAATCAATTTCCTCGCTCAACAAGTTCGAATTACATTGGCCCGACAAAAGCATTGTCCAATAAAGATTTCACTCCGACTTCAAAGCAAATAAAGGACATCAAATATTAAATGGCTTGTTTTCCAAACGTGCCTTAACTATTTTCCGATTATAACACCGAATTTGTATGCAAATTGAGTTGACATGGATCAAACAGCTGTGTTAGCACTTACCCGGTTGAATATTTGCAAATCGGTGACACAAAGCCGAACAGAAAATGTGCAAACAATTTTCTTATTCAAAATGCTGCATGCGATTTTTCGCAACAATATGTTTACCAAATCCTTTTCACGGTCCAACGTGGCGTATGCGCAATTTGCTCTACACGGGGCAACGCATACTGTGCGTGCCTTGGGTTCCTAACGAGTTTTCAAAACAATTTCCTTATTAGCGGGCTTTCATTTATTTTTAATGCAATAATCCCCTGTGCACACTGGTCAATTATTTCAAATAAATGTATCCAAGCTGAGAGATAACTGGAAGCGGTTGAATTTTCCCTTTTTTTTGGTTCACCCGCCTCAACAACTTCGCCAGAGCGTTGCTGAAACTCGACTGTGTTGTTGTTCACCAAAAATTACACGCAGTTGCCCGATGTCATGTTCCATCACACTCACACTTTCGCACCCAAAACACAGATGGGCTCATGGCAGCACACAAATGCAAATGGGAAACTTCGAGTGCTTGGCGGAAATGTCCGTTAGGATCTATCCTCGAAAGGAAAGTTTTTTAAAGGCTAATTAATACGTTTTTCTGCAGCTAAAATATTAAGAAATATTTAATAGTTTCCTTCCAAAAATGAATGCTACTGCCGGAAGGAAAAGCCATTTTACACAAAAGCTTCAGTACGAGCAACAGCTGGCCCATTTTGTAAAAAGCCCGCGAAATCCCAAGCGGTTTATTATTCATATCATAACTTTGCGAAAAGCTTTTGTTTTGAGAAAGCTTTCCAGGATTTCCGTTATTTTAGGCGTTGCCACTTCGTCTTGCAGCAAATTAAAAAAGTTGGTGAATAAATTTAATATTTTATTCCTAATTCAGATTTAATTATCGCATAAAGTATCTTAATAATTGTGTTTTCCTTTGATATAAAAATAACCTGAATTTTGCTCATTGGAAAATATATTCTTAAAATCTGTTTCGATTATAGTTCAACTCATTACAAATATAAATTAAACAAATATGGGTGCTGTATTGTACCAACTTTAAGACCTTTAGCTAAATTTTCAGAAATAACTGATAATAAAACGAGCTCTCCTTACTTATCCGAGTTATCTACCGATAACGTAGTACGTAACCACTAGAGCCCTGCACGAGTAGATGTGTAAGCAGCTCTGAGCTAGAGCTTGTTTGTTTGTTTGTTACTTTCGAGTCATAGCTCATGGGATTATCGAGTAAGCAAGTAGGGGAGAGTGGGGGAATTTCGTCACAGGGGCAATTTCGTCACCTGCAATATCTCGGAATCCATAAGTCGTAAAAATATATAATTTTTTTGTTTTAGTCCTTCAAGACGGCCAGACACAACCAATGCATTTGTTTTGCACAGAAGGCCAAGATAATTAAGCTATAATATTAAATGTGTTTTAACAGTTCAAAAGCTACATTTAGTTATCGACGAAATTTTTTCTGTATGCCACAATTCAAAAGGAATAAGATACACGATTTTTTATATAATACACAGTGCTATAATGTGCATTGCTGCGTCAGTGATTTTTAACTTCGCGCCTAATTTCGCAAGAAAAATAATTATTTCTAAAAAAGTACGGTCGGGGAAATTTCGCCACCCAACGCTAAGGGTAAATTCGCACCTATTTTAAATACATATTTTTATATTTGACGAGCTGGCTAACGAACAGACTACCGGCAGCAGCAACAAATATAGGACGTCAACAAAAATGGTACGCTTGATCAGTGTAGCATATTTTCAGGCGTTAAACTCCCTACATTTTTCAGGTGACGAAATTTCCCCAGTTGTGTGGTGATTTTACCCCCCTGTGTGGTGAGATTGCCCCAGTATATTGGTTTTACATTTTATTTTTTTATAAATCACCAAGCTAATTAAAAAAATAGGGGAATGTCACATTTTAAAGCTTGGTGCTAACCGCATTCAACAATAAAAATAGAAATATGATAACGTGTCTCAAGATGGACAAAAAAAAGCTTTGAAAAAATGCTGACGAAATTCCCCCACTCTCCCCTAATAGCTCAAAACAAGCTCATACTCCTAACAGATACCTTTAAAACAGTTCAGTTCAAACAGCTCAGAATACTCGGACAGCTCGAACAGCCCGAACAGATTGAAAAGTTTCTATTAAATATTTCAACGTCATTAATTTATAATAAGAGAACAAATATATCGTTTTTCCTTCAATGCTAAATTCTTTAGATGAAGCGTAATAAAGCGTAATAAAGTGTAATAATAAAGTGTTTTGATTATTAATTTGAGGTTTCAGTGCGGACTTTCGATTAGTTAGTTTCAGTAGGGATCTTTAAATATTTCGACGTAATCGCGATCTACAACAACCGTAACAACCCACCCAATTCCCTCCGCTGAAGCTAGGGTATTAAAAAGGTCCCAATCGCGTGTTAGTTGTGGATTCATGTCCCAGTAGGGTATCTCTAGTAAGAGAGACAGGAAAGATTTTTTTCTACAAGGCGAGCGTTACAGTGCAATTGTATTTGTTCAAGATTAACTTTTAGCAGAGTCATTTAACATATTTTTATTTATTTATTTTATTTTGGAATCTCAAATTTAGATTGCTGGAACAAATCACAGAACTGATAATATTAATTGCATTGCTTTTTATGGACCTGGACTTCCAGGTATTTTTAGAAATGATCTCCCGGGAAACGCTAAGATCAACAAGTTTTTCGACGGACATTCTTATATAGAAATTTTCGTTTTTGTAGTATTTTTGACTGAGGTGAGTTATACTGGTAACAAATGAACTAGTTGTTTCCTATGATAAGCATATGAAAAATTGACCTTTTCGTTACAAGGGAATGGACATAACTTGAACTAGTTAACCTTCCTGTCCCAAATAGTATTTTACTGGTCCAAAACTGATTGCGTTGCAGAATATCTTCCAAATTTTTGGCTCGATCGTAAGTTTTAGTTAGTTTGTTTTGGAAATGTAATATGGGTAACTAATATTAAAAGTTTGTTGTTGTTAACTCAATGTAACCCCTTAGATAAAATCTACAAAAAATTAGTAGCAATCAGTAAAATTGAACCATGGTGTGTAGTCGACATCATCCGTTATTATAGGTTCCCTACGCGCAGTAGATGGCCCGTAAAGATTGTAGCGCCGTGACCCGGCTACTATCTCACGGTACCGCCTCACGGGGGCTCTGGACATATGCAACTCCATCAGATCCCAGTCGTTAACGTCGCGGAAAACTGAGCGAATCATGTGCATGCGGCTTAGTAGCTCCGTCTCCCGCAATCCCTCGTACCTCCTTCCGGTGCGGGCACGGAATGTCTTGTAGACCTCGCTTTGCTGTTTGGTCTCGGTGGCCGTCTGTAGCTCCTTACGGTAGAGCGCACGAATCCCGCGGCCCAGGTGGCGGATGTGCTCGAAATTGCGTACGTTGAGTGCGACTAAAGATACGGCGTCCAAATTTAGCAGTTTGTGTCCATCAACATAATTCTCCCGGAAAGTTTGCTAAAAGGAAAGTAAATCGTTATTAAGTGCGAAAACAACCGGTACTTTAATATTAAATGATTGATGGGGGTACAGTGAAACTGAAATAAAATCATGTGAGGGGAGTGGAGTTTCAGATAGATCTGCTGCTTTGATTGTAAATGCTACTAAATATGATTAATCCAGGTAATTCTCTAAGTAATAGCGTAAAGAAAGATACGACGAAAGCGACAAAAAGTTTGCATGGAAGTACAGTTTATCAACAGGAAAAATAAACCTGGAAAATTTACGAAGCCGAAAAACTATTATTAAAGAACACCTGAGCCTGGATTGGAGTACATCTTTCAGTCGATTCTGGAAATGCCAGTGTAATCGAGAGTAATAAAGAGGGTTGGGCATTTTCTTGCACTGATGTCCCGAGTTTATAACTAAAAGATGATTTATTCATCTTCCATTCAGGGAAATGTATTTTTCTTATATCCAGAAATAGCTAGAATAGCCAGTAATGTTATATGATAAAGCATCTCGTGTTAGGAAATTGGCGGTTGAAAAGATGCCGAAAGCAAGGAAGGAATTTGACTCCTACTCCTACTAGCGCAGGAACCCCAAGAATTTGCATGGATAATGACAATCTTCTAGCTTTTACAGTTTCTGAGATCTCAGCGCTCAACGAACGGACAGATGGAATCGACTCTGTTAGTGATCCTGATCAAGAAAAACAACATAAGGGCATTTTAAATTAAGCCGCTGAACACATAAACCAATGGATTTTGTTTAATCATCTTCAAAAATAATTCGAAAAAAGGATAAAGAAGCGTTGGACATTTGTGAAAATTCTGCATAATTATACCCGTTACTCGTAGAGTAAAAGGATATATTGTATTCGTGCAAAAGTATGTTACTGGGAGAATGAAGCGATTTTTTTGTGGGGGGTGATATCAGAACATTTTTTTGTTGCATACTTTTTGAATACCAAAATTTCTTTCATTTTTCATCCGAGGGGGGGTGATATATCACCCATATCACTCCCCGTGGATCCGCGCATGCTGTAAAGTATATATATTCTTGATCAGGGTCACTAGCCGAGTCGATATAGCCATGTCTGTCCGTCAGTCTGTATGAACGCTGAGATCTCGGAAACTCTAACGCCCACAGTTTTAAAGATTTTGCTAATCTTGGATTTCGGAGAAGTAAAAATGAAATTTTGTTTCGTTTATTTATACATATCGAAATGTAGAAGAAATCGGACCATTCTTTAAAAAGTTATGCCCGATCAAAGTTTTATATCTCCCTCGCACTCCCTCTAGCTGAGTAACGGGTATCTGATAGTCGGGGCACCCAACTATAGCGTTCTCTCTTGTTTCGTACCTCGTTTTCATTTTACAGAAATAAATTTAATGTTCCCTCTTAGTTTAAGTCAATCAAAGCTTATGGTTCCCTCTTAGTTTAAGTCAATCAAAGCTTATGGTCCATTTAGGTAATCTGTGCACCAGGTGAACTTCACCCATATTCTCAACAAATTGGATGCGGTGCCTAACAATATTTTACAGCCATCTAGAGGCGTCTTTACTCGAATGTTTAAAAATACCACGATTGCCATTTCGCAATATATAAAATACACAGTATTCAAAAGTCGATATGGATCCTAGCTTACCTCATACTCGGGATAACCAAAATTGCGCAGCCAGTCGGTCACATCGTTGATACTCCACTTGAAGACTTCAGTACGGGCTTGGGAATCTACAACGGCGGCGCAAAGATTAAAGAGGGAGTCCGGAGTAGCCCTGAAGGGTAACGGGACGTCTTCTTTGTCGTAATCCACATCCGGGAACATGTAGCTCGGATACCGGAAACAAAACTCTTCATCCTGGGGCGGCTCGCAGATATCCAGGCTATCCATACCAGTAACAATACCACTGTGTAGCCGTGAAGACGAAGACGAGGACGTTGAGAACGACTCCATTCGAGTGGAAGTAGCGCACTGTTTCCTTGGCTAAAATAAATTGAGTTGCCCCGCAACGTTTTAGTTGCGGTTTCCCCCTGAAGAGTAAGTGGCGTTCGTGCCTGTTTACATAGTTTGATTGCGTTTCTGATGTTTCCCTTTCATTTATTGTAAGCTCTATGGTTTCCAGGAAATAGCTTACAATGTCAGATATCAAATGAAAGCAGAAGTTATATATTCAATTTAAAAGTTTGGCGCTTTAAAAATGTTAACACTTTTCTCGTAAATCCTTGGAGGTAAAAAATATTTCCTAGCCTATTCTTTTTAATTTGTTAAATATTGTACAAGGCTTGACTCGTTGAAGTAGTAGATATAAAACCTACTTTCGTTTTGTAGAGAATAAAAAGTGTCACCAACTACCAAAGGGATTTCCTGTTTCATTTCTTGTAGCTGCATTTGCATATCCGATTTTTTGGGGTCAATTCGTGGGCTTTGTGGTGCTAGGAGGGTTTTGGCACCAAACCCTCCCGACGGGGTGGGTATTTGCTGCCGGAAAGTATTCTCGGGCTTCGCTTCGGAATTTTCACTGTACATTTTCATCGTAAGGATCCCTTCGGTTTCGATAGTTTTCGTTTGGGGAATGCGGGTTGATTTGTGGTCTCACCCAGCGCACAAGCAGGTGATAGCGTCGATCAGGTGGAGTTCGCGGAGATCGCTCAATTCCAGCCCAATTGAACTCACATTCCTTGAGTGAGAAAGAGAGATGCCGCATCGGTATCTGTTATGGAGACACTTTAATTATCAGCCGAGCTTCTTGTGATTCTTGGGGTTCTCACGCCCAATCTAGCACCCACAATCGCCTTAAAAAAATTAAAACAATTTAGAACGCTGTAGTAGAGTGCCTGTACAATTAGATACCCGTTACTCAGCTAACCAACTTTAAAACAATAATTACCGCGGAAGGCAGTCGTCCAACTGCGTAAGCAATATATACACCCAAAAAAAAATCGATATGAATCGTAGGTCAATTTGACCTTTTTTAAGATCATTTTTAACTTGATATGGGGCCAGGTAAATGTGATATGGTCGAAAATGTAAGAACGAAAATTTTCATTATTCCTGTTCAGTTCAGTCAGTTCGAATTTCGAATACGTCTTTCTCGCTTCCACTCATGTCATTTTGCTCGCCATATTGATTCTTGCGCTCTTTTTCGAAGTTAGAGAATCTCCGAGAGAGAGAATTCGGCAAAATGATATTATTATACCCTTGCAGAGGGTATTATGATTTCAGTCAGAAGTTTGCAACGCAGTGAAGAAGACGTTTCCGACCCCATAAAGTAGGGGAGTGTAGGGTAAGGTGACGAACGATTCGTTTTTTGAATGTAACTTTTGTAAAAATCAATATTTTTCAAAAGTGTAAACGCAGAAAGTTGCTTACATCTAGACATCTGCATGACTGGAATCAAACAGGCTTTGAAATGATTCCATTCGAATAGAATAGAGTTGAGTAAATGCTCAGCACACTATGACTAGAATGGATTGCACCTTGGTCCGTATAGAGTATGACAGAAAAGGCCTAGAGTTAAACGAGTGATAACGAAAAACAGAATGTCATATTTGAATAGGCTGAAATCATTCGAGTTATTCGAATCCATTCGATTTTCTTATATGACGTCATAAGGGCAAAATAGAAAATTAAATTTCTTTTGATATACATATATGTATGTCTATAAATAAGTATTTTTGTGATTTCTTATTTTCGAAATTACCAAGCTCCCCTTAGTTTAAACTCAAAACACATGCAAAAATCCACGAGAATTAAAAAAAAATTGAAGAAACAATTAGTTTTATTAACATATCCCAGAACCAAAAGATCCGCCTCTATCGCCACAGATAAAGAAAGGAATGGTCTTCCTTGGACCGCGACTTCTTAGTATTGTCATCCTGGAGTTTGTTAGATAAATTCTTAAGAAGTTGCGGTCCAAGGAAGACCATTCCATTCTGCCTCTTCACTACACTATTTTGTACTTCTCCTCCTTGGTCCGCGAATTCTTAGGATTTGCGGTAGAAGGAAGACCATTCCTTTCTGCCTCTTCACTACACTATTTTATACTTCTCCTCCTTGGTCCGCGAATTCTTAGGATTTAAATATGAAAATGGCATGGTTGGATTCAGTGGCGAGCTAAAACTAAAGGTAGATTTGTAATTTAAAAAAAGACAAAAAACCAAATATTTATGTAAGTATTTCAAAACAAATTTAATTTTCCATTTTGCCCTTATGACGTCATGTAAGAAATCGAATGGATTCGAATAAATTCGTCTGAGTTGTTCGTGTACTCATTTACTCGATTCGTTTTCCATCACCATTTCTGGTTCGACTGAGTTTTACGTCAGTACACTTATATATTCAAGCCAGTTTCCCTACACATTCCAACTCATTCAACTCATTTTGAACATTGTCAATTCGAATATGTATTTTTTGTTATTCATGCAGATGTCTACTTACATCTACTGAGCATATCCCTGTAAAATTCGAAATTCGAAATTCCAATGCAGCTAAATCCCACAGCGTTTGTCGTGAACCCTACTTTTTTTGCACTTTCAAAAGTTGTAGGGTAATGTGACGAATGATTTGTTCTTTAATGTAACTTCTCCAAAAATCAATATTTTTTAAAAGTGTAAAAGCAGAAAGTTGCTTACAGTTACTGAGCATATTTCTAAAAAAATTTGGATTCGAAATTTCAACGTAGCCAAATCCCACAGCGTTTGGTGTAAACCATCCTTTATACAAACAAAAAAATACATTTTTTTATATATTATTTACGGAAAGGTTATTTTCGATACGGAAAAGAAAAAAGTAATAAGATAATACCCAAACTTACAAAAAAAAAAAATGGTCAAAGTGCAAATTTTTTTTTTAAATTAAATTAAACTGACGTCACTATTAAAAACAACAATAAAACTGCAGCAGTAAATGTTATCTGGTTTTATTATATTTTTTTTACAAATAATCAACGATAACAGTTAAAATTCTTGAATAAAAAAAGTTCGTCACAATACCCTACAAAAAGTTCGTCACGATACCCTACAAGGTAGACTTGGAGCAAAAACGGTGTCACTCTCAAACGGCGCAAAAGAAAAAAACGCGAGGTACCAAAAACTTTTGATAAATATGTCATGTATACGTGCATATATTTGCCTGATTTTATTTTCCACTCATCTTTGCTCTGGCACTGCTGAAACACAAGTAAATTGAATGGGTTTGCTAGTTTGCGCACCACATTTTTAGCGAAAATTACCTCACGAACAAATTACGGGACTTCTTATTAATATTACTGTAAATACATTGTCGACACGATAAGGGGAGACAACTACATTTATTTGGAATTTTTGTCGTGACGTCATATATGAGATTCGACGAGTTCGTCACATTACCCTACTCGTCAAATTTCCCTGCATTCCCCTATATATATTCTTGATCAGCATCACTAGGCGAGTCGATCTAGCCATGTCCGTCTGTCCGTCTGTCCGTCTGTCCGTCTGTCCGTCCGTCTGTCCGTCTGTCCGTCTGTCCGTCTGTCTGTTTCTACGCAAACTTGTCTCTCAGTTTTTGAGCTATCGGGATGAAACTTTCCCAAAAGTCTTCTTTCTATTGCAGGTAGTATATATGTCGGAACCAACCGGATCGGACAACTATATCTTATAGCTCCCATAGAAAGGATCGGAAAAGAAAACATTAAAAAAATTCTAGCTTCGGTGTTTTTTGAAATATTACCTTCTACTTTTGGGGATGTTATTTTTTAAATATTTCTGAATTTCGAATTAAATATTTAAAAAATCGGACTACTATATCATATAGCTGCCATAGGAACGATCGGTAAATTAATGGAAAAGTAATAGGAAATAAATTCTAGCTTCTTTGGTTTTTATTGTATTATCTTCTACTCTAGGATATGACTCTTTTTAAATATTTCCGAATTTCAATTTTAATTTGATAAAAATCGGACGACTATATCATATAGCTGCCATAGGAACGATCGGAAAATTAATGAGAAATATTAGAAAATTGAACATTTTCGCGATTAATTAATTAATAATGTTATTAATAGGAATGATCTGCAAGGGTATATAAGCTTCGGCTGGCCGAAGCTAGCTTCCTTTCTTGTTTAATGTAAATATTATGAATATTTCAGGTAAAAACGATATGAGTAGGAATAACCAGAAAATTACCTGGACTTATCGATTTAACGGCGACGTGTTTTTTTTTGTGTGTATACATCTGCTTGATAATCTTGCAACTTGCACCCAAATTCGCCACGCTCTAGCTCTTATAGTTTTTGAGATCTCAGTGCTCACACGAATACTTCAAGCGACTGCTTGCTTTGCTGCTTGCATATCTCCATCTCTCTTATATTTAGCTGAGTAAGGGGTATTTGATAGTCGAGGTACTCGACTATAGCGTTCTCTCTTGTTATACCCCTGCAGAGGGTATTATAATTTCAGTCAGATGTTTGCAACGCATTGAAGGAGACGTTTCCGACCAGGACCAATAGATTGTTACTTTGTTGGAAGTAGGCGTTTTAATTAAAATATAAATATCTATTTTAACTTATTCGTCTTCTGGTCAACGTCTTAGGACCGTAGTCGTCAAAGGCTCGAACTCAACTCCTCCTTCGTTTCTCGTCGTCTTCTCGTCGTTCGTTTTTAATCGCTCTTACTTCTCGTCTTTCGTCTTTACTTCTTTATCAAATAAAAACACCTCTAAACGAGGTAAAAAACTCGTGACGATCGCACCTTCAACGTACAAAAGTTCTGATATCAACTTTTGTGACGAAAAATGATTTTAGATGCGACTAAATAAGTACGCTACCTAAAATTTACTCGTTCGGCCCGCTTTAGCAAATATTTAATATCTACACGAAAGTTTTTTGTTGTAGCGTGCCGAATGGCGGCTGTTTTCCCGCTAAACTAGCGAGTTTTTCCAAAAGTGGTAGAACAAAAGTTTTTTATATCGATGTGATGAACGTCATATCAAATTTTCAAATCTTAAAAAATACACTCAGAAAAAAAACCAAGCACATTGTGCTTGTTTCAAGCCCAAATGGTCTTGAAAGGTCGACAGGTACGAAATGGGCTTGTTTTTTCATTTCAAGAACGTTTTATTCTTAAACCGACATTCTTAATTTGAGAACATTTTCGGGCGTAATTAAGTATGAAATGTTCTTGAACCCAGAATTAATTATACTTAAATTAAGTATAAATTCTACTCAAATAATGTAAAAAATAAAAAAACAATTTTAAAAATTTAATGAAAATTGCTTTAGAGTGAAGGGTTAATATTATTATTTGTACAAATTTAATCCGATTTACTTATAAATGAGGTATAAGCTATGCTCAAATGAGTATGAAATATTCTTAAATAAAATAAATCATTGTGTTGTTTTATTAGTTAACAATACTTATTTTGTATAATCTTAAACTTAATTACTCATAAATGTATAAAGATTTGTAGATAAAAATGTGTTTTATACTTACGAAACATTTTTCTTAAAATCACATACCTCTCCCAGGATTCGATCCCGCAACCTCACGCACCACAGTCGGACGTTCTAACAGCTCGGCCACGCTCGCTCTTACGCGGCGATGATCAAAAAACCTACATAAGTACTTTTATTTGCATACTTAATTTAAGTACAACGTGTACTTGTTTTGAGAATTTAATTCTTAGTTTTAAATAATATAAAACAAAAACACCTCTTAACAAGTTAAAAATGGAGTGACACAAAATCCGTAATTTGCTATTTTCTCCCCGATTTAAACATAAAATCGGCTTGTTTTAAGAATTTATTTCTTAGCTATGAATTTAAATGTTTTTCAAATCGAATCGTATTTTGGCATATATGATGCACGTTTTTCACAGTATTTAATAACAATTATTAATTTCAAAATTTTCTCCGATTTAACAAAATTTGCTTGTTTTGAGGATATAACTCTTAATTTTTAATAATATTGAACTACTTGTGTTTAATAAACATATGTACCTACATTATACAGTTTTTGTGAACTAATCTTTTTTAGTCTAGCGCCAATTCTATTTTACTTTAATCAATATTGGAACTCGTTAACTAAATTAATTAGTACATTTTAACATTGGCTTAAGCACAAATTGTACTTGTCAAAATGCTTATTATTTTTTAATTTTAATACTACTGATGAGAATAATTCATTGTTATTTACAGAATACTAAAACCTAATTTTCTGAAATTAAGTAGGGGAGAGTGGGGGAATTTCGTCAGCATTTTTTCAAAGCTATTTTTTGTCCATCTTAAGACACGTTATCATTTTTATTGTTGAATGCGGTTAGCACCAAGCTTTAAAATGTGACATTCCCCTATTTTTTTAATTACCTTGGTGATTTATAAAAAATTAAAAAGTAAAACCTATATACTGGGGCAACCTCGCCACATAGGGGGGTAAAATCGCCACACAACTGGGGAAATTTCGTCACCTGAAAAATGTAGGGAACTTTACGCCTGTAAGTATGCTACACTGATCAAGCGTACCATTTTTGTTGACGTCCTATATTTGTTGCTGCTGCCGGTAGTCTGTTCGTTAGCCAGCTCGTCAAATAAAAAAAGATGTATCTCAAATAGGTGCGAATTTACCCTAAGCATAGGGTGGCGAAATTTCCCCAGACAGTACTTTTTTAGAAATAATTATTTTTCTCCCGAAATTAGGCGCGAAGTTAAAAATCACTAACGCAGAAATGCACATTATAGCACTGTGTATTATACAAAAAAACTTGTATCAAACCCCTTTTCAATTGTGGCATACAGAAAAAATTTCGTCGAGAACTAAATGTAGCTTTTGAACTATTAAAACACATTTAATATTATAGCTTAATTATCTTGGCCTTCTGTGCAAAAAAAACGCATTGGTTGTGTCATGCCGACTTGAAGGACTAAAACAAAAAAATTATATATTTTTACGACTTATGGATTCCGAGATATTGCAGGTGACGAAATTGCCCCTGTGACGAAATTTCCCCACTCTCCCCTACTTTTAGTAATCACATTAAGAATGTTTGTGCTTACCATGAAAAATTATTTTTTTAGAATAAATTATACTTGGGTTTAGGATAAATCGTTCTTGTTTAGTCCTGTTTATTGAATTATGTTCTGGAATCAAGAACATTTGCGGATAATTTGGGTTTTAAAAATGATTTATTCTTAATTCAAGAACGCCCATTCTTAAAACAAGCCCAAAAAATACTATCCGAAATCAAGTATAAATCGCGCTCAAATTTAGGATGCGTTTTTTTCTGAGTGTATGTTTTGGACAAACTGACAAACAGAATTAAATTTTCATTTTGGGAAGAAGAAGAAAATCTTATTTTGGCTATAACTTTTGAACGGAGCGTCGGATTTTATCATATGACCCCTCATTCGACGGGAATTTTCAATAGGAACACAACTAAAACATTGCGAGGGGCATTTTTCGCCACCGGCCCCAACAGCTCCAAATTTCGAAATTTTCACTTTTTTACTTTCACCGCTCTTTCTCCCAAGCCAATTGATTTTCTTAAAGTCTTGGTATGCAATCCTTTAAGTTTTTGCAATACCTTTCGATTGGTGTATTACTCACTACGATCGGACTATTACAGCAGATTTTCAATTTTGCGGCTATATAATAGTAGTAGTCGCCTTCGCACACTCTTCTGGTGCGCTTCGTCACTACATGGACTGCCGTCCATAGTAATATCGTCTGTTCTTGCATTTCGTAGTTGATCTCGGTTAGCTCAAAAAGGTTGTTGTCTAGGGTAAGCTTATGGTGGAATGACTGCCTCCCAAAGCAGACACACCCCACATATATCATAGCAAATAGTCAAATACTCGAACTTTTTGGATCTTCCCTGCAGAAAAAATGCGAACTAGTCTGAAAAACAACTAGTTATACAACTAATATAAAGCAACCCGAATTTGGTTGTGAAAAAGCAACTTATCTCGGACTGGTACCTTTCTGACAAAAAAAACCTTAAAAATATTTAATTGGTAAAACAAATACATGTCAAAGTATAGTTAAAAAGCAACTGGAATTTAACTAGTTGCACTTGAACTACATTCGATCCAAAAATATAGCCTAGGGTGTAAATGTTTTTTATTTGCTTTCTGATGATATAGTTATACCCGTTACTCTTAGAGTAAAAGGGTATATTGTATTCGTGCAAAAGTATGTAACAGGGAGAAGGAAGCGTTTCCGACCCCATAAAGTATATATATTCTTGATCAGGATCACTAGCCGAGTCGATCTAGCCATGTCCGTCTGTCCGTCTGTTTGTCCGTCTGTCCGTCTGTCTGTCTGTATGAACGCTGAGATCTCGGAAACTATAAAAGCTAGAAGATTGGCATTTAGCATGCAGATTTTAGGAGTTCCTACGCAGCGCAAGTTTGTTTCAAAATTGTGCCACGCCTTCTCTAACGCCCACAATCGCTTATATACGATTTTAAAAACTTTAATATTTTGGAAAAGTAAAAATGCAGTTTTATTGTGTTTATCAATACCTATCGAAATGTAGGAGAAATTTTTCAAATCGGACTGTTTGGACTGCATATTGTCAACACGAGAACTTGCAGTGTAGCTGACGTCACACTGTAAGCTCTCTAGTTACAGACATTCTTCTTTGCCCTTTATTCGTAGTCTTGTTCGAAAGATCGAACCATATCACAGTTAATTTGGTCATATGCACATACATAATTTGGAGAGCTGCAGCTTCGGTAAATGAAATGTAAAACCGACAATTTAGTCTGCGAGCGAGAGTCAATACATTCAGAAGCACCCTCTGTGCTCTTATCTTTTATACTTTTTTACATAACCTAATTAAATCCAACGCACATTTTTGGAACCTTTCGTCTTCTTATTTGGGACCCTGGGCAACAGACCGCTACTCCGAGGAACTTCTAACGCCGCCACAGGTGGACAATCACTCTGTGCGCCGCATCATATTTTGCTGAAGATTGGGGCTCCGTCGGTACGCAGCCACAGCCAACACATTTTGGTGCCGAAACCCGGGAAGACTTCTCTTGGACTGAGTGGAATATCTGTGGGTCACTACTTGGACTACGCTGGAGCGCGAAGAGGTTATTGTAGAAGGTTAGTGCACTGTGTTTTGTTGTGAGAAAGAGGGTCAAGGTCATGGCTGAGACATTTGAGGAATTAATTGCGGAGCAATCAGCTTTGATTGATTCTGTACGCCGCATGTTAGAGAACTTTCGGAAAGCTGGCACTAATAAGTCGGAAGCACATATGGAGACTAGATTAGAATCTCTGGCCAATATTCGCACGGAGTTCCGAGAGAACCATCGAAAATTGGTGCGTGCGGATGACGAGTTGGTTCAGCACGATTATATGGAGGCAGACCTTGAAGGAAAGTTCCAAGAAGCGTATATTGATAGTGTGGCGCAGATTAGAACTGACCTAAATGAGACTAAGGATCGACTTCTTGCGTCAACAGGAATTAACAATCTTGATTTGCAGGATGGGCATCGCAACGCGCCATCGTCAGGGTTTATAGCACCAGACCAAACCACGATCGATGAGGTTAAACTTCCAACGGTTAAATTGCCTACATTTAGCGGTGAATTTGTAGATTGGCCGGCATTTAAGGAAATATTTGAAGCGCGAGTTCATAATAGCCCTAGACTCACTGATCTACATCGATTCCATTACCTCAAAGATTCTTTGTCAGGGGAAGCCATCAAAGATATTCAACATCTAACACTGATCGAAACAAATTATCCTGTAGCTTGGAAAATGTTATTAAACTTATATGATAATAAGCGTGTTCTGTTTCAACATTATATGCAGGTATTAGAGCAACAGCCCATGGTGCAGAGCGATGACCCTGTTTCGCTTAAGGGGTTTTTACAAACTTGTCGTTCTTGTATTAAATCATTGGAAAAGGTTGGCGTTAACCTTTTCGATCAAAGTCATGTCATAGTTTACTTGGTGACGAAGAAACTACCTGCGGAGCTGCGGTTGGACTGGGAAAAATCCCTGGCTACTTCACAGGAGTTACCAACATTCGAACAATTATCCGCGCATCTCGATGGACAATACAGGACTATGCTTACGTCCGCCAGTGGCGAGAGGACAACATTGTCTAACAAGGATCGAAAGGGAGCATCGGGATCGTCTGAGAAGCGCCGAGATGTGAAATCCTCCTTTGTCGCCCGATCGGAGCAGAAATGTGCCATATGTTGCAAGAACGGTCATTCTGTTCAAGATTGCAAGGTTTTCGAAAGCATGCATCTAACAGCACGGAGGGAAGCTGTTATGAAGCAACGTTTGTGCTTCAACTGTTTGGGGAATAACCATAACTCACGAAGATGTAAACTTAAAAACAATTGTTCGATTTGCGCAGATCGGCATCACACGCTCATACATTTGGATCGGGTTCGGCTGACTAAAGAGCCAAATGAGCAGGTTCAACAAGTTACTTCCAACGCAATTAGCGGGACTTCGAGTGCAACTGGGACTAGTTATGAAGTGCTATTGCCAACAGCGCTAGTTCGGATCCAGTCCGCAGAAGGGTTCATACTACAGTTCCGAGCATTTCTGGACCAAGGATCGCAAGCTTCGTTTGTATCGGAAAACGTAGTTCAGAAGTTGGGACTAACTCGTCAAAAGGCATACATTAAGGTTAATGGACTGGCCAACGCACGAGTTACCGAAGCGTCTTCTTCCGTTCGTTTATGTTTTGGATCAAGGTTTGAGCCACAGGCAAGGTATAGTGTGACTGCGTATGTGTTACCAAAGGTGAGTAAGCGCATGCCAAATCGTCGCTTATCTGTGGAAAAATGGTCTCAATTTGAACAGCTTTGCCTGGCTGATCCTAATTATTTTGTTCCACAAGGTGTGGACATATTGTTGGGGAGTGATATCTATGATGAATTAATGCTAAGTGAAATACATCGCGGACCGGATGGCTGGCCTATTGCTCAAAGCACACGACTTGGATTTATTATATCAGGAAAAGTTAAGGAACCCAACACAAGGGTCACGGTGCATACGGTGACAGTAATCAAGGACGAATCATCTGCGGAATTAGAAGGATTACTTCGCAGATTCTGGGAATTTGAGCAGTTGGATGAGGCAGCAGAAGTTTTGTCGAAGGAAGATTTGTGGTGTGAGGAACATTTTGTTAATACACATGTGCGGTTACCTTCAGGGAAATATCAAGTGCGATTGCCATTTCTATCCACTTTGGATCCCCAGTTAGTAATTGGGTCGTCGCGTCAAGGTGCTTTGAAACGGTTGTGCCATTTGGACAAGCGTTTACGCAACGATGCCAACCTGAAGGAGGTGTATTCCAAAACAATAAAGGAATACTTGGAGTTGGGCCAAATGGAAAAGGTTGTTACACAAGCTGGGCAAACGGAAGAAACAGGCTACCCGGGGGAGCCACACATAGTTATTTACCTCACCACCCAGTAATCAAGGAATCGTCAACGACTACCAAGGTGCGCGTCGTCTTTGACGGATCAATGAAGACGAGCAATGGGAAATCTTTGAATGAAATCTTAGCAATAGGGCCCAAATTGCACTTGGAGCTCCCAGCAATACTGATAAACTGGAGAGCAATAAGGTTTGCATTCCTTGCGGACGTGGAAAAAATGTATAGATGTATTAATATACATAAGAAGGATGCTCAATTTCAAAGAATTTTGTGGAAACCGGACAACACTGTCCAGGTAGAGGAATACGCCTGCTGCACGGTCATGTTTGGCACGAGCTGTGCTCCGTATCTGGCCATTAGAGTTATGCAGCAGTTAGCCGAAGATGAAGAGCATAACTACCCGCTGGCAGCCAATGTACTTAAACGTCAGATGTACGTGGACGACGTTTTATCTGGAGCAAATAGTATTTCCGATGCAAAGGAACTGCAAGCTCAAGTTAGAGGAATGATGAGAAGCGGATCTTTTGAGTTGCGAAAATGGGCCAGCAACTGTCCTCAACTGTTAGAAGGAATACCTCTAGAACATCGGGAAACCAAAGAGCCTCTAAATTTTCAAGGTGACGAGACGATTAGAGCATTAGGATTATATTGGAAACCCAATGAAGATGAGTTTCGATTTCAACTTAATTTTGATCTCCCAGCAGGTACACCAACAAAGAGAAAGATGCTTTCGACGATTGCGAGGTTATTCGACCCAATGGGATGGTTGAGCCCAATCACCGTTGTTGGAAAGCGAATGGTGCAAGCCCTGTGGAAGACAAAACTTAGTTGGGACGACCACGTACCATTGAAACTTCAAAAGGAATGGCAGAAATTCATTCAGGAGCTGCCAAACTTGTCTAAGATTCATATACCACGCTACATTGCTTGGGGAATGTCAAAGGGAACTCCACAGTTACACATATTCTGCGACGCGTCAGGATACGCGTACGGTGCGGCGGCTTACTTACGAATTCCGATAGGAGAGAACGCCTTTCATACGGAACTAATTTTAGCGAAATGCAAGGTAGCGCCTATCAAGCCGCAGCTTACGATTCCAAGAGCGGAATTGTGTGCAGCAGTCATTGCTGCGAAAATATTTAAGTATTTAAAGGATCACTTAACTATTCATATTGATTTTGCAGAGACTGTCTTTTGGTCAGATTCGATGATCGTTTTGAGCTGGATCCAAGGAGGTGCTGCGAGGTGGAAGGTTTTCGTTGCCAACCGCATCAGCAAAATTTTGGAGCTATGCGATGGGAAACAATGGCGACATATAGCATCTGAGGATAATCCAGCCGATCTTCTAAGTCGGGGAATCAGTGTTACTAAATTAGCATCGTGCCAATTATGGTGGAATGGACCGCCGTGGCTGAGATTTAAAGATTGTGAGTGGCCATCGACAAAACTAGATCCTGGAACCGATATCCGAGTCACCAGCGAACAGAAGCAGATGCACTGCAACGCTATTTCTGTGGAGAAAGAGAACGGATCCGATATATTAGGAAGGTTTTCATCGTACACAGTGCTCATTCGCATCCTGGCATATGTTCATCGATTTATAAGGAATTGCAAGATATCGAAATCTGCTCGAATAGTAGATTCTCTCACGGTAAGCGAGCTTTCTGAAGGGTTTTTGTGTGCGGTTCGTTTGTGCCAAAAGGAAGGCTTTGCAGGCGATTGGAAACTATTGTCGGAAGGGAAAATGTTACATAAGCAAAGTCCGCTGTTACCACTCAATCCTTATTTTGATGAATCGGAAAGAATCATTCGCCTTGGAGGACGCTTGAGGGACGCACTGCTGCCGATGGCGGAAAAACACCCATACATTCTACCTTATCAGCATTCATTTACAAGCTTGGTCATTCGTTATAGCCATGTCAGTACCTTACATGGAGGTGCGGCCCTTACACTCAATCATATCAGGAAAAAATGTTGGATCATCAACGGACGTAACGCCGTACGAAGAGAAATCCATAAATGTATTGTTTGCTATAAATTTAACCCTAATATTACATGCCAAAAGATGGGTAATCTTCCACCGGCCAGGATTCGGCCACAGAAGGCTTTTACGTCAGTTGGGATTGACTACGCGGGACCGTTCAACATATCGCCATCTAAAGGAAGAGGACGGACTTCGGTTAAAGGCTATATAGCGGTTTTTGTATGTCTTGTAACAAAGGCTATCCACCTAGAACCAGTGGGGGATTTGACATCGGACGCATTTCTTGGAGCACTTCACCGATTCATTGGCCGACGTGGAAAATGTGTTCATATTTATAGCGACTGTGGCACAAATTTCGTCGGGGCAAATCGGAAGCTGCAAGCAGACAAGTTGGCATACAAGTTGTACATCGAAAAAACGATTCTAGGTAGACTCACAGATGACGGGATTACGTGGCATTTTAACCCTCCCTCCGCTCCACATTTTGGAGGTCTATGGGAGGCGGGCGTTAAGTCAATGAAACACCACTTAAAAAGGACAGTTGGTGATCGTACGCTCACATACGAGGAATTGGCCACCGTATTAGCTCAAATTGAAGCGTGCTTAAACTCTCGTCCGTTGTGCCCGCTAAGCAATGACCCGGAAGATTTGATGGTCCTAACTCCAGGCCATTTCTTAGTTGGGGATGCTCTACTCGCTATGCCAACAGAACAAGCCGATAAACTAAGTGCCACCGAGAGATGGAGGAACTGTCAGCACTTAGTTCAGCAATTTTGGAAGCGTTGGTCCTCGGATTATCTATCACGCTTGCAGCGGAGACCGAAATGGTTAGAAAATAGGCGTAACTTGCAGGCTGGCGATCTAGTACTCATTAAAGATGAACGTTTGCCGTCTAATCTATGGGCTCTTGGTCGAATTACTGAAACTCATTGCGGCCAAGACGGTTTGGTTCGAGTGGTTAAACTCCAGTCTCAGAGTGGTATTATTAAACGGCCAGTAGCAAAATTGTGCCCATTACCCATACAAGATAATTGGTTAAATCGTGACCTTGACCCTCCACAACAATTCTAAGTTGCATTATCTTTTTAGCGTCCAACCTCCAACCTACCGAAGACGTTGAAGAAGCAGTTAATAATATTCTAATAATATCATTAGGGGGGAGAATGTTTGGACTGCATATTGTCAACACGAGAACTTGCAGTGTAGCTGACGTCACACTGTAAGCTCTCTAGTTACAGACATTCTTCTTTGCCCTTTATTCGTAGTCTTGTTCGAAAGATCGAACCATATCACAGTTAATTTGGTCATATGCACATACATAATTTGGAGAGCTGCAGCTTCGGTAAATGAAATGTAAAACCGACAATTTAGTCTGCGAGCGAGAGTCAATACATTCAGAAGCACCCTCTGTGCTCTTATCTTTTATACTTTTTTACATAACCTAATTAAATCCAACGCACATTTTTGGAACCTTTCGTCTTCTTATTTGGGACCCTGGGCAACAGACCGCTACTCCGAGGAACTTCTAACGCCGCCACAGGTGGACAATCACTCTGTGCGCCGCATCATATTTTGCTGAAGATTGGGGCTCCGTCGGTACGCAGCCACAGCCAACACACGGACCATTCGTTAAAAAGTTATGCGTGATCAAAGTTTTCAATCTATATCTCCATCTCCCTCGCACTCCCTTTACCTGAGTAACGGGTATCTAATAGTCGGGGCACCCGACTATAACGTTCTCTCTTGTTTTATTTTAAACTTAGTTTTATCTGTCCGAGGCAATATATTTGTGAAAAATCACTGTTTTTCAATGATGTTACACTAATCTTAGGGAATTACAAAATGTAATGCGTGTATGGCTCAATCAGTTAGTGTATCTACAAATCCAATGGTCCCTGCTTCAAGTCCTACAGACTTGCCATTAAGTTTGTTTCAATTCCAATTATTTATTATTTGCCGTGTTTAATTATATAATAACAATCAGAATTCGTTTAAGAGACCGCGCCTTTCACTGAGCTACCAATTAGGAGAGCGTTAAATTAAACATCTTCAAGTACGAGTAAAATACAATGATTTAATGGTTGATAGACCAGTTTTTAGATTTTTCGAGAAAATATTTGTTTTAGTGTAGTTTAACAGATGTAACCGTAAATTGATTAACAGTCACTAGTGCAAAACTAGTAGCAAATGGACTAGTTGTTTCCGATGACAGGCATATGAAAAATGGACAAGTTCGTTACAAGGAAATGGACATAACTTGAACTAGTTAACTTTCCTGACCCAACTAGTATGTTACCGGTCCAAAACTCATTTCGTTTCCTGCAGGGCGCTTTACTATCAATGTATTTCCGGCCGTGGACTTGACAATGTGTTTGAAGGTGAGGGTGACTACTGTTACTTTTCTGGCTTATCTCAAATTTATTGCAAAAATTCGTCAGAAGTAATCTTTGATCTTCGCCCCTATACATTTATAGACTATTTTGATAACACTATTAACTTGCTCCAACACTGTAGTCGTAAAAGAATCCGTTTTTTCCCATAAAATTGACGCATGTTTTGGAATCACGCAAAATGAGACTGATAACCCAATATTTCTAGTTCAGACTGCTTGGAAATTCTCTTTATTTAGCTTAATTATTCTCAGGCTAATACGCAAATATTTGATATATGGGTATCTACTCAAGTTAAACCTCAAAGTCAAAGTCAGCACGTAATACTTTCGATTACGTCTTTGAAAATGTTTGCGGTTGTAAACTGAACGTGATGATGCTGATCTTAACACTGAGTTGCTCGCATATTGGATTACCAAACGTTGTAAAAACCACACATCAAACTTGAACTCAATTGAACATAATAAATGTCCAATAACAATTGACTTGTGACGTCTTGAAATAGCATTTAATAATATTTTTATGTATCTGTTTATTGTTTTTAATTCAGGAATATTTGTTATAGACGGCGTAGTTGAAACCATTCTCATTTTCTAAATTGCGTTCTGTCTGGAATTTTTTATACTTGCAAAATGTTCTATTTATACAACACAAATCCTAGATTTTCTAGTTTGCTTTTTGTCTGGCGCCCATTTTAATGTGAACCTAAATAGTAAGAAATTTCATCAGCCCTTTTATTCCGTAACAGTGATTGATTAAACATACTCACTTCATATTAAATACAAATCGTTCTAATAGTTCAAGTAGTTCAAAAGCGTGGCATCATTTCAAAATTCATTCCAATTTCAAGTTCAAAGTTGTATTCAGCGATAATATTGAAGTCATTATCTCCGTTCCCATTAAGCGGCTTCGACTATTTAGAACAAACGTCAGAGGCTTGACACAAATTGCCAGTTTTGGCGGACTCGAAAGGCATTTAAATAAAATTTAAAAAATAAGGATTGCAGGCTATTAACCCAAAATGTATTTTGATTGCCTCAATGACTTGCGATCAAACGGTTCGAGTAGACGTAATTGATTCGCCCGATGCACGTTTGACTTGTGCCAATAAATCAATTGTAATGCTGATAAGGTGGTTAACAATTTCCCTTTTAAGTGATTGTCGGCCCATAAAAATTATAAGTTAGCAAGTAATTAGCTCATCGAGCCTCCAGTTTGTAAAGAGAATAATATTACTTATGCTCATCTGCCCGAGCATAATGGGAAATTGAGTCATACAGATGCCCATAAAAAGATGATTACACAATCTCTCAATCTCGGTGCAATGCCTAGCCCTCCCATGAATAAAGATGCAAACAAGTTTGCTTATATATATGTTTTTATACATGTAAATAAATCCGATCGGTGGGAGCTTCGTTTCTCTGGACCCGAAGCCTTATCACAGTGGTTTCGGCTCCGTCGATCGATTCACGTGTTGTCATTTATAAAACGATTACAATCCAAGGCGTGAATGACACTCCAGTACCGGCGGCTGCACAAGACACACGAGAGCCCAGTAAAACTGGAACTGAAACCGATCAAGCAGAACGTAACTCGAATCGACTCCCGACCGTCTGAAGTGGTCGTGCGGAATTACAAATCGTTATATCAAATACTAATAAAAGTGAAAGTAATTACTTACAAAATGTCATCTGCGCTGACGAACCTCTTGCAATCGCTGCGGATTGTGCCCTTGGGACACGGAAAATCCAGTAACCAAGTCGTGGTGGTGTCCAACAAGAAGGAGCGCTTAAAGGTGGAAGATCTGCCGGAGATCTCTTTGGAGGAGGTGGCCCAGCACGACAGCTTTGATGACTGCTGGGTGGTAATATACGACAGGGTCTACGACGTCACCCATTTCCTGAGGGATCATCCTGGCGGCGATGACGTCATTATGGACCACGCAGGACGAGATGCCACCATCGCCTTCCACGGCACCGGACACTCCGGAGATGCCATCGAACTGATGAAGGATTTTCTAATTGGTCAACTGCCCACCAAACAGCACATTTTTCGCACTGGAAAAAACAAGGTTTTGTCCCTGGGCATACCGGAATAATTTAACTATAATGTCAGCCGATTTAGCACCAATCGCCTTCGCCGCCGTCCTCCACGTTATATATGTCTATATGTTTTTAGAGTATTCATTGATTTTGTGTCTAGTTTTAATCAGCTTATTTCGCATTCCGCAAAATGGCTTTCGCTTAATCATCAAAAATCATTAAGCCAACTATGTATATTTATATGAACTTATATATTTTTGTCAAGACTTGAAACGGATCTAAGATTAAATTATTTTATTGTGACTGTGGTTTTTAATATTTGTCATTCGCTGATTAAAAATGGTTGGGTCGTACCGTTTGGATGTCTCAAACACATTATAGATTTGTTGTCATTCACAAAAATTTCTGGATTTTTTTAATGTTGATGGTAAAATGAAATATAAAACTTTTTAGATATTTATCAAATAAAAACACCTTTAAAATAGGTAAAATGTTGTATCAATCGCACCTCCAACGCAAGTTGTGGTATCATATTTTGTGACGATTATTATTATTAGACTTTCGAATAAATAGATTAATTCTTCCCACTGCAATAGAAAATATCTGTGTAAGCAAAAAGCTTTACTATTTTGAGTGTGCTGCGTGTTTTATTATGCCGTCCACAGTGATTTGCTAATATTTCGTTTCCTTTCCCTTAAATTTTATTCTGATAATTAACAGTTTAGCGAACCCAATCTCTACTGACTGGAACTCTTTCCTATGATATACTTTCTACTTCAATAATACTTTATTTGGTAATATTCATCTTACACATAGTGGTTGACATTATGTAAATGCACAAATAAGAAATGCTTATGACAAAAATAAATATCACTTAACCGATTTTCACTTGGCTGCTCTGATAAGAGGCTCTCTATCAACCTTCTTTCGTCTGACTAGTACACAAATATTTGGCATTCTTCTTTTTCAATTGACTTAAAAATATTGCTTGTTTATGGATTGCTTAACAGGTGAACCATCGTTCAGACTCTAATTTAACTGCTGCTGGAGGGCGGTTCGTTGTGAGGTCCTTGGAGAAGGGCCTGCAGCTTGGCAGCCGCTGGGAAGGCACCCAGATCTAGAGGTGCTGCTCCGGTGGTGCTTTGTATATAGGCAAGTAGTCTGAAATTTAATATTATGTTTTAAATTTTACTACATTTATTTAATTGTTCTTCTTACCTTCTCAACTCTTCGAGGGCATTTTGCTGCATAAGAATATAGTTCTTGGCCAGCAGTAAGGTGGCTATTTTCGATAACTTCCGAACGGAAGGAGAATGGGCATATGGAATCACACTTCTCAACTCATCCAGGGCATCATTCAAATCGTGCATCCTCCGCCGCTCCCGGGCATTAATATTCAGCCTCACAGTCTTTCCTTGCCGATTTTTCTGCTTGCCATTGTTGGAACCACTTCCACTGGCTCCACTGGACACCGCTACCGTGGTGGTGCCTCCTACTAAACAAAATTAATTTAGTATATATTTAATATTATTATTTCCAATTTTTATACAAACCAATAGCAATGGCTGCGATGGCAGCGGCCGTAGGACTCAGTGGTTTTTCCGGAGCACTGGGTCCTGGTTTGTTCTCATCCGTCGGTGGCTGCTGGGACATGCCCATTCCCTGGGCATAGAAACCGCCCAGACCCACCGATCCCAGTGGTGTTCGACGGCCGGGGACGCTTTGAGGTGGACTGGCTGTCGGTGCTGGATGCTGGCCACCCAGCATATTTGCGGTGGGTGGTATCGGCATGTGCCCATGGTTGGGGAGACCGGGAAAACCGAAGGCCAGATTCGACGGATCCATTTCTATTTACTTTTTGGTAGTTTTTCCAGATCTGAAAAAATATTGTTGAAGGGATGTGCAATCTTTTAGGGTAGTCCTTGCGCCTCAAAATAATTATTTTACAGAGCTGCAAGGGTTCGAATAAATAGGGGTGGAAAATCTCAGCTGTTTGGTGGCTCCTGCTAGCGGACATTTAAGGAAATAATAGCTTGTCAAAGCGTATCAAAGGTGGAGTGTTTCTGTTTTCAAAATATATTATTTCAGATATTTAATTTAATTATTCATCTAAAAATATTAAAAAACTAAAGGTCTATTTACAAACATTTAAAATTTGAATTGTCGAAAATTTAAAGCACTTTCTAAACCAAGTTGAAGACTCGTTAAGCTTTACATAGGTGGCGCTTTGGGGTAGACCAAGTTTAAGGGATGTTTCTGCTTTTGTTGGTTTAAATTCAATATTTAAACGGTTTTGTTAAAAGTTATTAACTGTAAGAAAACTAAATGATAACTGTGAACTTTTACCGACAATCATTTTTTTTTTAAATATTAATACCGCAAATTTTTGCTCAAAAGCGCTTATCAAATATGCAAAATTGCCGCAGCACTTTATTCAGCTTGCTGTTAATTTATGGCACACTTTAAGGATTATTTATTTAAATTAACCACAAATCACAAGTTCACAGGCGTATGAAGGAGATGGAAGGCACAGAGCATGAGAAAGAAATTGGGGATTTAAACATTTTAAAAAATCGCACGCACCACAAACCAGGCAAAAAATTAAAATGCGGCTGCTATGTCAGAAGCTTCAGATCCTGATTCGCAATCGGATTCGATGCGCGAGTGTGAGGTGCCCGGCAACAACAGAGCCGACCGCGATTTTGTGGTGGGTTATAGTAGTCGCATAACGATTTTCCGATTTTTCTCTGCTAGCTTTCTCTCTCTCTCGCTGTTTTTATTCGCACCGTCCCTTTCTCTCTGGCATCTCTGTCGATTATAAATTTTTTGCCACCGACGCCACCGTCACCGTTTGGTGTTAATCTCTTTCTGCAGAAGGAATATTATGAGGCACTATATAAAAATGTGGGTCGGGTGTTGACGCCGGTGGTTGACGTTTAGTGGTTGTGCCTCGCATAATGCAGCATCCACACCAATACATATATCAGTACTATTACCAATACTCCCAAAGATGCATGACTCACAAACGATGCACTCGAAAAAATTGTTAGTCAAAAACCATAAGCAAGTATAATTTGTATGACAAACTCTTTTGTAATCAAGATGTGTATTTACTATGCAATTCGATAAATGCAGTCATTTTTTTTATAAAAAACGTTAATTAAAAAATTCTTTAAATATTTAGCGATTTTGGGATTGTAAGAACTTTGATATTATGTTTGAACAATTTGGTTTTTTAACGGATTTTCCAAAAAATATTTTTTTTTTTTTTTCCCTGAAACTTTGTTTACATAAATAACACTAAGCAACATCTAAAATTTACCTCGATGAATGCAATATTTTTGATTATTTTCTAAGATAAACTTTGTTTTCCAAAAACTTCCACGACGCAAGGATTCTTAGCACAAGGACCTCAAAGTTCGAAAAATGCTGAAATTGATCATTTTTCCGGAGGTCTCAGAGGCAACCGGTTTCATGGTTTGTTTTGATGTTAAAGTTTTTTAAAAGATACACTCTTTATCTTTCAAACCTCATGCTTGTAATTAGTCTAATAAAACAATTATAATTAGCTTATTTAATCCATAATAATACTAATATATTAAAAAACCTTAATGAAAATCAAAAGTGTTACTTCGTTTCAGCATAGTATACAAAATTTAAATTTGTGTGGCCACACTCTTTCTTCACGTGTAAGAAGTTTTTAATGCCTTTGCCCTGGCTGTCCGAAAATTCATTTCTCTTGTTGTTCAGGATTTTTATCGCTTCGCTCCTTTTCAACCCCGATGGCCCAGCACCACCCCTCGCACCCTGAATCCTCCTGGCCCGCTCCTTTGTCTGTGATTTCAATTTCCATTGAAACTGAATCTAATTCCTGTCCTAGGGGGTTGAACAGGGAACGAGGAATATGGCCATAGCCCGTGCATCATAGCATATCGCCTATAGAGCATATACCATATAGCATAGCACAGAGGATGCCGAATCTGCATGGCATTCTCGACGTGAATGAGTGTGTGCGTTTGCGAGTTGCCTGGAAATTATGGTATCGCATTGTTCAAAGTTGGAACAATGCCATAAATGGCACATGCCAAATATTTTCGTTGGCAAAGGCATACCCTAAAAGAGGGTATGGAAAGTGCATGGAAAAATTCGGTATATTCTTAGAAAACGTTTAGTTAGTCACAAGCAGGCTCAAATTCTTTTACTTTATTCATTGCTTTACTAGCCTTGTTTGACTGTATAAGATATACTGTTGTATTGTTTATACGCTTTCTAAGCCCGTTATAATTAAATAGCTCGATACAATAGGGTATTTTGTGTTGTGGCCCTCCCCAAACTAGTCGTGTTTGTTTCATTTGTTAGTGCTGTTTCGCTAAAAGCCTACTGGAAATTAATTTTTAATAAACCCTATTGAAAAAATAATCACAAAAATGTTAATACAATGTCTTCGAAAATTTAAAAATGTGTCAGTTAGAAACTAAGTCTTGGTTTTTTTTGTTGATAAGAAAATATTCAAGTATTCAAAGGACATAGCACTTTAAAAAAAATATCATCTAAGCTCTTTTTCCAATATCTCTAGTAGCCAAAGAAGTTTACAAGCCGGAGCTTAGCATCTCTATTCTCCTGTCAACTGCAATGCCCACTAATGACTATCCACACTTCAAGCCTCGCATCTATCGGTGGCGGTGTGTGTATTTAGAGCTGCCTGCAGTCGTTTAGTCCTTAGAATAAGTCAAACTACAAGTACGGGCGACAGACCTAATGACTTCGCGCATAATAAATTTAATAATTTGCGCTGGCAACTTTTCCATTTTCCCTTTGTTTGCGCGTCCCTCGTTTCGTAGGGGAAATTATTGTGTCAGATGTTCGGGGCAGCAGCCACCGTATGGCAATATTTTCAATGGAATCCGGAATCTGGACAGCCCCCTCCAGGCAATGCACCATTTGCTCCGTGATTGTGAGAGTTTTTTTTCGGATTCGTATTCTGGTTTGGATGAACTTGCAATCGCAGTGTATTCTCCCTTATTGTAATTGTTCTGGGACTAATTCAGTTTATATGCAGCATTTACATTGCAATTTACGGCCACCGAAATATATTCGACTTTTCAACCCCGGACCGACCGAAATTTAAAATTTCGGTTTTTTCATTTTATAGCCACATTTTTATCAATCCATATACATATAGATGGGTATTTGTCGTTGGTATCCGGGTCCCTTGGTCCGGCAATGAGGAATTTCATTATAATTTGCATAATTTATGCGCGACCGTGATTTGCATAATTAAGATTTGTACATTTGTGCATGCCAGTCATCATTAGCTTAGGTTCCGCACTGCGGACCAATTGTAAATGGCCAGCCCAGGGATTTTTTGGATTCGTACCTCGCGATCCGTTAAGGGGTTGTCAGGGGTTAACGGTTGGCCCTCGAACTATGTCACTAGTATAATTTAAAATCGCTTCATTCGAAGTGCCTGGATATTTTAATTGAGGAATTAAGTGAATTTGCTTTGATATTATTTTTTGGTAATTTTACATTTTTGTTAAAATGCATTGCTTATTAATTTAATATTACTAGCTTAAAAATTTGTAACAAAAATTTAATTTTCCAGTATTATATATTTTAAACAGGATACATTTTAAAATCTACAATATAAATTATAAAAAGCATACAATTTAAGACTTATTCTTTTGTCGACTTTTAAGATGATTTGTATTGTATTTTTAATGTGCTTTCCCTAATAATTGTTCTTTATGAATTCATTAAAACAAATATGAAAACTATTATTTAACACCAGTTAAAATAGCATTTACCCTTAAAATTAAGTTGAGGTACTAAAAAGTCGAGACCTAGGCAAGGACCAACCCTCACTTGTTCGTTAGAGAAAATTACAAATGCAAAAGCCCAGAAACCCAAACGAAACCCCAATTTAATGTTTGGGTATGCGCAAATTAGACGAAACCATGGCATTCTTGGTTCTATGGGGCTTGGCCGAACTAACGGCACTCCATGGGGCAATGCGAATCAATCATTAGCATTTTATTGTTGAAAAACCAATTTGGCACATTTATGAAGAGGCCTTTTCTGCCTACTTCCGTTGTTCTATCTTTGGAGATTCAGACGGTTTTTGGGTTTATGGCTTTCTAACCTTATTATCGATGGGCTTTCGTTATATTGGCAATATTTATGGCAGCCCATGACGGTTCGCCTAATGATTCCCTAGTGTATCGTTTTCAAGGTAGCAGCTCCTATCCCTAAGCCACAGACACACACGCACACTCCTGACAGTCCCATATTTTATTTCGTTATTTTTATTGGCAGACGTCAACGTAATACAAAAATGTGTCAATTGTACGCTGGGGAAATCGCTGCCGACTTGGGTTGGAAATAAGAACCGAGTGAAGATATATTTATCGCTCATTTCCGGCTTGACAAGCCTGATGCGCTTTTGCCATTAGCCGAAAGTTCTTCATGGTGAATATAAACTTGTTCCATTTTGGGAAGTAAACAAAAAAAACACGATAACCATTTGAAGGATTTCATTTTACTTGGCTCACAAGGCTGGGAAGAAAAGTCAGCATTAGGTTGGAAAAATAATTCTAAAATAAAGGACAAAACTTGAAAACGTAACAAAAAATTCAAAAAGTACATTTTACTTAAGTTAAGGTTGATTTACGATAAGGTACCACGTCACTTATGAAATTATTTAGCTTTAGCTTTTGATTTCGTATTTATTTTAAAATTAATTTAAAATATTTAAATAAATAAAGAATAAGTTTAAAACGACTTATTTTATTCATTGGAATGACAGGCGGATTGCGTTTCTTTTTCACTTTGTTTTAATCTAACCCCCGTGAAAACCATCACACTCTAAATAATTACCGAGTCGCACATAAAACGTGCCTCGGAAAACAGAAACTGTAACGTACAGAATTTGATTTCCCCATTTGATAGGATTTCTCATCCATTAGCCGAACTGAATGGATTGCGTCGAGCTTTTATTGATTACATCTAATGCTCATCATATGCGCTCTTCCAACAGCCCAAAAAAAGCGAAATAATAATAATTTCAGACAAAGGGAAAGCGTGCAATATTTTATCAAATTATGCGATGTATGCAACTTCCTCTGCAGAGCGAATCTTTAACACCCCACTGCCCACCCGGGCGTACTTACAATTTATCAGCATCAAATGGAAACCAAACAGCGAGGGTGAACGTGAACCCATGAGTTTGTGAGTTTCTGAGGGGTTGGGGGCGGTAAGCCAGCTACAAAACAACAATAACAGTGCCAGAGCAATACCAATTCGAATTAAAATGCTGCTGATGCTGGGGCGGGGTAGAGGATGAGGGTGAGGATGAGGATTCAGCACCACCCCCAAGGGTGGAAAAAGGGGTTGTTTGTCGGTTTCCCTTCGGTTCTTTTCTTTTTTTGCGCGCGCGTTGTTGCAAATGGATATGGAATGTTACACAAACAAAAAGGGAGTAGGGTGGCCGAGTGGAAGTCGAAAAAGAAGAGCTCGAATCAAAACCGAACACCAAAAGGAGAAGCAGGATGGAACAAAAACACAAAAAATTGCAGGCACGGACCGCCACGCACAGGACACAGAAAGGGCCACGCAACCAGGAACCAGGCGAAAACAAAGGGCACAACTTTGATACGAGGGGCGAAGGGCAACGGAAGGAGGACGGAGGACTACGGTCCGTGGGTGGATCAGCTGGAGGAGGGTGCAAAGAGGAGGAGGGACATACTGGATGGACCCAACAATGCCCAA